CTTGGAGCAACTTTGAGCAACTTTGAGCAACTTGGAGCAACTTTGCGCGACTTGGAGCAACTTTGAGCAACTTGGAGCAACTTTGCGCGACTTGGAGCAACTTTGAGCAACTTTGCGCGACTTTGAGCAACTTTGCGCGACTTGGAGCAACTTTGCGCGACTTGGAGCAACTTTGCGCGACTTGGAGCAACTTTGAGCAACTTGGAGCAACTTTGCGCGACTTGGAGCAACTTTGAGCAACTTGGAGCAACTTTGCGCGACTTGGAGCAACTTTGAGCAACTTTGAGCAACTTTGCGCGACTTGGAGCAACTTTGAGCAACTTTGAGCAACTTTGCGCGACTTGGAGCAACTTTGCGCGACTTGAGCAACTTTGCGCGACTTGGAGCAACTTTGCGCGACTTGGAGCAACTTTGCGCGACTTGGAGCAACTTTGCGCGACTTGGAGCAACTTTGCGCGACTTGGAGCAACTTTGCGCGACTTGGAGCAACTTTGAGCAACTTTGAGCAACTTTGCGCGACTTTGAGCAACTTTGCGCGACTTGGAGCAACTTTGCGCGACTTGGAGCAACTTTGCGCGACTTGGAGCAACTTTGAGCAACTTTGAGCAACTTTGCGCGACTTGGAGCAACTTTGAGCAACTTTGAGCAACTTTGCGCGACTTGGAGCAACTTTGCGCGACTTGGAGCAACTTTGCGCGACTTGGAGCAACTTTGAGCAACTTGGAGCAACTTTGCGCGACTTTGAGCAACTTTGCGCGACTTGGAGCAACTTTGCGCGACTTGGAGCAACTTTGCGCGACTTGGAGCAACTTTGAGCAACTTTGAGCAACTTTGCGCGACTTGGAGCAACTTTGAGCAACTTTGAGCAACTTTGCGCGACTTGGAGCAACTTTGAGCAACTTTGAGCAACTTTGAGCAACTTTGAGCACCTTAAAGCAACTTTTAGCAACTACAGCTGAGGAGCTCCAGCGCCTGCTTCGCAGAGAACTCGGTGCCGAGCCTGGGCGCACAAACAATTTTTTGAGTGTCAGTTTGGTGAAAGCTGAACCCTAACGGTAGTTTCATGGGCCCTTAACAGGGTCCCTAACTGTCTTTAAAGGGTTCTGATGTATGGGCCTTTGGTTTGTATAGGGTATATAAGGGCCAGAGAAGGGGTCCCCACTTAAGGGCCCATACTTGTGGCTGGATGAGCCGTCTAGCCATGGCTTAGCCCCCCACCAGTCTAATGCGGGCGTCTTGCAGCCAGACCCTAAACCCTAAACCCTAAACCCTAAACCCTAAACCCTACACCCTAAACCCTGACCCAAAAGCCCTTCATCCCGGTCTTGCAGCCAGAGGTGCTGCAGGAGTTCCTTGGCGCGCACCAGCCCCACCAGCTTTGGCCTTGGGCTCCGGAGCGCAGGGCACGGTTCTAAACGTCAAGGGGCTGGCTTCGACCCTGAATTCCAAACAGCCCTGAAGCTGCACGATCCTGGTGGATCCTGACAACCTGCCTGAAGGCTCATGCGTAATAAACACGTAGCGTTGTAGGTACTGGTACCTGAAAGCCATAGAACCATACAACCCCCTACCTCAAAACCCTAGAGAGCCCTAAGCTGCAGCGGAGGAGCAGCAACACCGACGAGCCCAACTCCGGTACAAGGCCCAACTCTCCAAACGGATAGCGAAACGACGCATCCTTCGGACCAAGGGGTGAGTTTCTTCTGCTGTTCTAGGTTTGGCCTTCGAGGGCTTGAGGCCTACCAGTTATCTACTCGCCGAGGCAGACTTCAGAGTCCGGATGCCGCCGGCTTTCTAGAAACAAAAGATGAGCCCGCTGTGTGGCAGTCGCTGCGCAAGGACATCGAAGTGCCGGCCGGCCTGGCTGGCATATACCTCGCGAGGAGTGGGAAGGAGAGTCCAGCCCACATGCGGTGCCCAATTGCCTCATGCGAACCCCAAAGAGAACCCCTTGGCCTTGCACCATGATTGGGCCGAGGAACAAAGTCTTGCCAAACCAGCGCGAGGTTGACCCCTCCACCAATTGCCATGCCGTTGACAGCTGCGATGGATATCTTTGGCAGCTTGATCATGGCCTGCGCCACCAGGATGCACTCAGGCATTGGCTCCAGAGACTCCATAAGGGGGGTTTACGAAAATAGGGGTACCCTGTTTGGGGGTCTCTTAAAGGGGATTCTATAATTTGGGGTATATAAGGGGTACCCCTATTATGGGAACACCCGTATGCCTAATATAGTTGGCGAAGTCAGGTAGCACTGCCCCCCCAATTCCCGCACACACTCGGGCGCACCCGCGTGGGGCCCGACAAAGAGATGTCAGGCAGCCGGGTTGCAATCCCTGCCTGCACCAGAAAATTGTGTCCATGCTTGAACACAGGTCCAGCATAGTCTGCTAGTGTAGGACGGGCCAAGCGGCTTTGACGTAGCCCTCATAGACCTGACCCACACCCGTCGCAACTTGAACATCTGTTGCTGCCTCCGCAGTCTTTGGAGCCTGCCTCTTCAGGAACTTCTGTGCTGGGATCTGTGAAGTTGCCGCCCGAACAGAAAGCTCGCCCGGCGCCTGTCCACCTCAGCACTCAGAGATTTGACTCCAGAACCCTAAACCCTAAACCCTAAACCCTAAACCCTCAACCTTGCTCGGCAGCAGGCACAATGACTTTGCATCGCTCGTCCCTCTTGACGTGCTCCTGCTGCGGGCACGGTAAAGACTCAAGCACCTTTGCTAGTGTGTTCCCACGGCTAACGCTAGAAGTCTGCAGAAAAAAACAAACCCCAGCTTAGCTTCAGCCAAGTGACGAGCAACAGAGAAACCTGCTCCAAGTAAGGCATCAACAAATGAAAGTGCTGGATGCTACATTTCCTTGGCGCAAGGGTTTGTGATGTGGAAAAACGTCACCGCCTCCTGCGCCAGATTCAAGCTCATGCAGTTGAGCCGAGCAGGATCGTTCAGAGTGATGACGAAGACCCCATCACCTGCCTGTAGCAAGGGAAGCTTTGCTTTGCGGCTCAGGCCTTCGAAATTGCGTAATAGCTGCCAAGCGGCGCTCTGGTACACCAGCCGTTTCATCTTGTATGGCCTGCCCACAAACGAAGGTAGGGCCCCGTGTTTGCTACGGGGAGTGCGAAACATGCCAGCGAGCTGTACAGAACATGTTCCACCACCTTTGTTGCGCTTACTTCTCTGTACACATGTGCTGTTCTGTATGCATGGGCTGGCCGTGTCTACGCAGCTCTATATATATATATATATATATATATTCATACTTGCATGCATGTGAAGGGGAAGCGTTTATGCACAATGTGCCTTGGAAAGTTGGGTCACGATGGCACATGGCGAGGCAAAGGTCTCCCAAAAAACTCAAGCTCGCATGTTTCCATGGTTCCCAGTCTGAAGCAAAATGGGGGGTTTACGAAAATAGGGGACCCCGAAAATAAAACCCCCAAATAGTAGGATCCCCAGAAAATGAGGACATCAATAAGGCACCCCTAACATCGTAAACCCTCCAAATCTACATTTGCTATCAAGACAAAGGACATGGCGCATCTTCAGTGCATAGGCAGCTCCGTCTCGGATCTGCTCACAAATGCTCTGAACAACTTCTGTTCCTTCGTGGCGGTTCGCGTGTGTCTGCGAACCCTCTGCTTGGGTTGAGGATTTGGGGTTGATCGGTTTCCCCTGCTCTCGCCCAGGCCCGAACACTGCCGAAGTGAGGTGTCGAACGACTTGGAACACCACGAAGAAGAGCTTATGTGTGTTGTTTCGCTTGGGAAGTTGCGTAACCTTAGCTTAGGCACCTCAAGATACTTTGAACACGGCAACATGAAGCTGGAGTGCAAAGCCCTCCGTTCTTCTGCATGATGGCACAGTCAGGCTTCTTATCTACGAGCAGGGACTCCGTGGGGGCTCCAAGGTGTGCAGGCCTTCAGTCGGTTTAACGGCAAGAGTTTTGACATGGGCTCGCTCCCCAAAAAGCAAACTAAAACACTGAAGGGCTTGGGTCTCGAAGACACAGCTTCGAAACATGGAGGTTAATCGAGGTGCGGATCGCCCACGATGTCGCCGGACGAGAGGTTCAAGACTCCACAGAATGAGTTTTTTTGTTCTGACAGCCACAAAGGCGTGGAATGCGAGCCCGTACATATGAGCCCTCTGTGACATCCCCCGATGGCTCCAGTGCGCCTCACCTGAGGTGCGCAAAGAGCGCACTGGAAGGACGTGATCCTTGTGTAGAATGCGAATGCATGCCGCATCCAGAGTGCAGTGTTTAGAAATGAGGGCCTGGAGTTGTTCATGTTTGAAGGCTGTTCCCGCGGCCACTAACACTCGACTTGTTTCCTATGTACAGGCGTACACATGCGCGTGCATTTGTATTTGCGCAGTATATACTTCATATGACGAACATACGTGCATTCGGATTTGTATCTATACATGTACAACTGCACTTATATCTATATGATACGTACAGCTATATGGATGTCTATGCTTATGATCAAAATACATTGATATTGATACTGATACTGGCAGCATCAAGCTGGCCATGTTTAATATGTTTCTGTAATCACATTCAACTTACATTCCTCTAGTCATATACGTACGTATTCTCACTGCTTGGTCTTCATGCTTATCGATTCTGTACCCAAAGTCGCAAAAGCCGCCCATCCGCGTGCCATGGGCCACTCAGACTCAGCCTCGGGGGATCCAGCGCGGAGTCCCCGGAGTAGTACAGCAGGATCTCTTCTGCTTCGCCCAGCGCCGCCATTCCTAAGACCTGGACACAAAAGGGCCCTAAAGCACCGGCAGCGGGTTGAGCCTGAAAGGATAGCTGCAGACGATCAACCCTATACCCTAAACCCTAAACCCTAAACCCCAAACATCCCCAAACCCTACACCGCAAACCCCAAACTCCAAACCCTAAACCCTCAGAGCTCCAAGTGCGAAGCAAAACAAAAAGCAAGTGCTCAAAAAAGACACCTCTCCTGTGGCACCGGGGGCCGGGCTTTGCTGCACAAGCTCCCTGACAGCGCAGGGCACCCCCCGCACTCCTCAACCATAAACCCTCAAACCCTGAACTTCCGAAGCCCCAGAGGAACCCCAAAAACCCCAAAGCCCCCCAGCAAGCCCTCAACCCTGAGCACAAAGTCTCAAAGAGAAAGTCTCGTCTCAGTCATCAAGAGCAGGAAGTCGAGGCCTGCTCCTCCGAGCTGCCTCAACAGCGGAGGCCACGTTCCGCTCCAGCTCCTCCCAAACTCACGGAGGGCTGGCTTAGGGCGTTACAGGGTTTATGGGGTTTATGGGGATTATAGGGCTTGTGTGGGCTTATAGGGCGTATAGGGTTTATGGGGCTTATAGGGCTTATAGGGCTTATAGGAGCCTGGGCTCGAGTCCTCCCAGGGGTCAGGCTGGGGCAGCTGAACCTCGAGAGTTCCTAACCTGTGTGCAATGAGTACTCGTATGGGTCATGGTGGCCTGAGCTCCGAGCAGGAGGCAGCTCTTACCAGCATTTTGTGCACGCATGGGGTGCCGCAAGATGCTGTGAATGATAGAGTCAAGGCAGCAGTTAAGAAGGTAGGCGCTGGTCCAATCGCGCTTGCTCTTCAGGCCAGCAATCCCTGGCAGGCTTTGAAGGCGGCCGCTGCTAAGCCAGGCAGCAATTTTAAGTATGTCAGCTCAGAGGAGCTCCAGGCGTACATTGAGCACAAAGCACAGCAACGGCATGGAACTTCAGTGCCACACCCCAAGGCAAAGAAGCAGAAGGGCGCCCGTTCGCACATGCAAGTGCCGCTTCAGGTTGATGCTGGACACTTGCAGCTTTCGCCTGGTAGCTTTGTTGCTGCGGACAGCACGCCTTTGAAGCAGCTGGCCTTTCATGAAGTGCAATCCCAGGCATCTGGCGTCTGCTTTGTCTCGCCGCAGCAAGCGGCTCCCTTCCTGTCGGATGGCCGCAGTTTGTCGGTTGAAGCTCTTGCTCTGCTTGTGACCGCGGAGATTCCTGTCACCGCTCATCCATTAGCCCGGGTCACCACCGTCCGGTTTCCTGCCCTGTATGCGCCTACGGGTGAAGCCGTGTTAGTGCTTGGGTCCCTGATCCAACTTGGGGATGAGGAGGTACTTTTGGCACAGTCGGATGCCATCGACGTTGAGGGCATTGAAACGATTGTGTGCCGCGTAAACCTGTACCGGGATGAAGCGCAGATCCCGTGGGATCAAGTGGTTGAAGCGCCGCTCCGCGCTCTGATGCAAAACGTACCCGGCATGAAAGTCTGCAAGGATGCTGCGTGCAACCAGTCTTGCGCGGGCTTTCATCCAGCAGTGGAGGAGGAGGTTGACCGTCTCTTGCTCGATGTGTGGGCCCGCATGTTCACCAAGTCGTCTGGAGGCAAGACCAAGCCTGCCGAGGCAGCAGTGTTTCAGGCGTACGTTCGGGTTCCAGCCTCTGCTCCCAATCACTTGTTTAAGATTGTGTGCCCAGGGTTGTATGTGGAGCCACGTGCTGAGGACGGTTCAGGCACGCACCCGGGATGGGCCGTAGTGTGGCTCCCAGGAGCAGGCCTTGCGCAAGCGCAGCATGCGCACCAGACCTGCAGCAAATCCTTGGGACTCGCGCGGTTGGGATGTAGGTACGGGCTGCGTGTTCGAGATAGCGATGAGCAAGCTGTCTTCACTGCTGTTCGTCCTCAGCATGCATTCTCCAAGGTCCGTGTTTTGTTCCGTTACCGGTTGCATCCGCTGCCGTTCGGCTTCCAACGAGCCGGAGTTGTCCAGCTCCTCAAGTCCTGGTCTTGGAACGCCAAGCCCCTGCAGCCAGATCGCGGAGACAGCGCAGGATCTGCGTGGGTCGTCGGAGCCTCGGAGGAGCCTGCTGCGCAGGCCCTGCCGCACGGCAAAAACTTCGTACTGGTGACCAAGCTCGCGGATCATGCCCGCAAGCCGTGCGCAGTCAGTGTTTGTGCATCTCAGAAGACTCGCCAGCACATCCTTCTGGATGATGATTCCGCCCCTACACCTGCAGTTGACCCTTGGAGTTTTGGTCAGGATCCTTGGTCCAAGGCGCGAGCCTCTGCTGATGTGCCCATGCGCTCTGGGGTTGGGCCATCGAACGGTGCCCTGACCAAACTGACCCAAATTGAAGATGGCCTCCGTCAGGACCTGGAGAGTATGGCGCGCACTCAGCTTGAAGCTGCCGCGCCGCCGCCTGGCCTCACAGAGCACGACAAGCGTCTCCATGCTCTGGAGGTAAACATGACGGAACTCAAACATCAGAATCAGAAATTCGAGGGCTGGTTTCAGAGCTTCGGTTCAAAGGTGTCAGAGCAAGCCCATGCTATGTCCGGCCTTCAGGCCACTGTCAAGGATCAGCAAGCTGCACTTGGTCAACTCCGCTCCGAGGTGCAGAGCACTGTCACACAGGCCGTGAGTGGCGTGCAGAAAGAGCTCACTCATCAACTTGCGTTGCAAATGGAACAGATTCAGGCGCTCTTTGCTGACAAAAAGCAGCGGACCTGACTAAGGCGGGCCGATTGTCTTCGTGGGAAGCGAGACAGGCCGGGTATACGCTCTTTCTTCCCATCATTCGGCTTTCTTGGACTCCTCCTCTGTGGGTTCGTCCAGATCTGTTCTGGACTTCCGAGTCCCAATCCTTCTGCGCCTTTCGGTCGGCAGGCCTTTGATGCACCTGTGTCCCCTGCTTGCGGTTGTGGGTTTTGCCGCATTGGGGAGGCTTCGAATCCTGGTCCAGATGTTCTCTGGGTCAGCTCCAGTAATCCCTCCGGCCTCCGTGGCAAGGAGGCTCTTTGCTCAGAATTGCAGCCAGGCATTCATTGTTTTGCGGAGACACAGTTATCCGGTGTCACCTTGCCTGCCGCCCGCCGCGGGCTGCAAGCGGCAGCACGCGCGCAACACCGGTGCGTTAGAGTCCTGACAGGAGCGGACGCCCCTCTGAGATCCAACTCTCTGTGGGCTGGTAGTTGGACAGGAGTCTTGCAGGCTTCCGATTTTCCTTCTCGTGTTTTGCAGTTGAACTGGCCGCCTGACTTGTATGCCACTGGTCGCGTTCTGTGTGCCCAGCACTACGTGGCAGGCCACACCGTCACTGTTCAAACAGTTTATGGCTACCCCATGGGCCCCACATGGCCGGATGCCAGACAACGGACTAATGCCATGCTCTCTCATGTCACTAGGGAGTTAGTGCTTGGCAGTCACGGTATTCGCCTGATTGTAGGTGACTTCAATCACAGCCTCGCGCAACTGTCCGAGACAGACATTTGGCGCCAACATGGCTGGGCGGAAGCGCAGGAGGTTGCCCAGCTGTGGTGGGCCCAGGAGCCGCAGGCAACGTGCAAAGGCACAACCGTCCGTGATTTTGTCTGGCTTTCGCCTGAAGCCCTCACAGTCCTTTCCCGGGTTCATGTGACAGAAATTTTCCAGGAACATAGCACCGTAATTGCTGAGCTGGCGCTCTCGAGTGATACCGTTTCGCGTCAGTCTTGGCCACTCCCGCATTCCATTCCCTGGTGTGATGTGCGTGTCGACTCGTGGCACGCTGTGGGTGACCATGCACCAGTGAACTCGGCCAATTCCACCGAGTGGTTTGCTAAATTCTCACATGCCGTGGAGCGAAGCCTACAGGGGCATGTGTCAGATGCTCCTGGATCGCGTCTTCCTGCCAAGTGTTTTGGTCGTGGCAGGCGTTTGCGCCCTGTGACTCGTCAAGTGAACATCCCGCCCAAACCCAGCCGGCCAGGTGAAGAACAGCTTGCGCACGATGGCCTTGGGGCGGAGGTTATCCGCTGGTTCAAGCAGCTACGTCGGCTCCAGAGCCTGCTCCATTCTCTGAAGGCTGGGCGCGATGCCCCGGCCGTGTTGGATTATCAGCTCTCGCTGTGGCAGGCGATCCTAAGTGCTAAAGGGTTTCAGGGCGGGTTCATGATCTGGTGGCGCTCTCGCGCCACAAAGCTTGCAGGTTCTCCTCATCATTTGCCACACCTGTTGCCCGGCCTGGAGCTAGCAGAAGCGCTTTTCCTGGATTTCCGTGTCAACTTTCGCAACTTTGAGCGCTGGCATTTGGCGCAGCGTGGAAAGCTCCTAGCGGAGCGCTATGACAACTCCAAGAAGCAGCTTTACCTTGACTTACGGGACCCAGCCCCCCCGCAGGTTGACGTTCTGAGCCTGCATCATTGTCACGCCATTTTGGCGGTTGAGCCCGATGGGTGTACTGTGCAGTTGGACTCTGCGCCGGACCAACGTGGCGCCAACCATTGGACTCTGGATGGTGCCCAGGCGCAGCCACTTTTTAGCGATGGCGCTATCTGCACTCTTTCGGCAAACGATTGCCCCGCAGTGGATCAGGAGTTGGAGCAAGTACAGACGCTCCACAGCACTTCTGATGTTCGGTCTGAATTCGTTTCCCTTTGGTCTGCGAGATGGCAGCGTCATCGCGACACTTCCCTTGATTGCTGGACTCGTGTTCTCGGCTTTGCCTCGGCTTTCCTTCCTCGTCTCAGCTTTGACCTCCCAGATATCACTGAGGATGTTTGGTATGCAGCGGTACGCCGCTTCAAGCCCAAAGCGGCGCGCGGCCCTGACGGTTGGGCGAGAGATGATCTCCTAAACCTGCCTCCGGCTCGCACGCGCCAGTTGTTGTCACTTCTCGAACACATTGAAGCTGGTGCAGCGGCGTGGCCTGCACAGCTACTTCATGGCTTTGTCATCTTGCTGTCCAAGCAGAATGGGCGCACTGACGCCCAGGCGTTTCGGCCGATCTGCCTTTACTCGGTGATTTTTCGCGCTTGGTCAGGCATACGTGCTCGGCAACTGTTGCAGCAACTCCGCCAGTCGATCTCACATGAGATGTTTGGATTTCTTCCCGGCCACGAGGCAGCGGAACTGTGGTATACTGTGCAGGTCCAGGTAGAGCTCTGCTGTCAAGGTTCTGGAGATTTGCATGGCCTTAGCACGGACCTTGTTAAGGCCTTCAACCAACTGCCGCGCCAACCTTTGCTATGTGTGGCTTCACATGTGGGGTTTCCAGGGCGAGTCCTCACCCCATGGGCCGCATTTTTGGCCGGCACAGTTCGTCGCATTACGGTGCATGATTCCGTCAGTCAGGCCATCCCTTCGTCCTGCGGATTTCCGGAAGGTGATCCTTTGTCACCAGTCGCTATGGTTCTCGCCGACTGGATTTACCACCGGTACCTCCAGGTGTATGCTCCCTCAGTGCGCTCCTTATCCTACGTGGATAACTTGGCCTTTACGGCAAACGCTGTCGGTCAGTTGATCCAGGGCTACAACTTGACCCAATGTTTTGGCAGCTTGCTTGATCTAGAGCTGGATGCTTTTAAGACATTTGTTTGGTCCACTTGCTCTACAGGCCGTCGAGTCTTGACTGGGCTCGGGCTCACCGTGCAGACTCAGGCCCGTGAGTTAGGCGGTGTGCTTTCCTATGGCAGCGCCACCCGAAATGCTCTGCTGGCTCAACGTTGCAGTAGTTTGACGCCTTTGTGGCAGAAGCTACGCCGCTCACGCGCGCCTTTGGCCTTGAAGCGTGCAGTGTTGCCCTCGAAATTCTGGGCACGAGCTTTGCATGGCTCACCCGCTTGCCCTCTAGGTGCTGCGCACTTGGGGCGTCTTCGCAGTGCTGCCACCAAGGCACTTAGTATTTGCCCGGCGGGTAGTAACTCCCTGCTTCGTCTGTCATTGGCAGCCAACATGGAGGCAGACCCTGGCTTTTATGAGCTCTGGCACAGTGTAATGTTGCTTCGCCGCTTGCTTTTCAAGGTGCCGTCGTTGCTTTCAGAGTGGCAACTGTTCATGAGCCGCTACGATGGGCAGAGCCTACATGGCCCTTTCACCAAATTGGTTCAGCTTCTGTCTGCTGTCGGCTGGATGGTGTTGCGCCCGCCGTTCCTCCAAGATGCTGAAGGTTTGACACACAACCTGCTGGAGTGCCCGGTTGCGCTTCTACGCCGGCTCTTGGAGCAGGCCTGGCTGGATTTTGTCAGCGCACAAGTCAGGCACAGACAGACTATGTGTGATCTGGACGGTTTGGATGTAGCGCTTTTGTCTGCAGATGCTTCGCAGCATACTCCTCTTGACTTGGCCAGGCTTTGCGCCATCCGTTCAGGTGCTTTTCTTTTTGGTGCACAACATGCCAAGTATGACCTGAGCCAAAGTGGGCTTTGTGTGATGTGTCATGAGCCGGACACGGTTGAACATCGAGTTTGTCATTGCCCATGCTTTGCGAGTCAACGTAGGCAGCACATCTGGGTTTGCCAGGAGTGGCCCTCTCTGCCAGTTTCTTTGCGTCATCACCTCTTGCCTGCTCGTAACCCACACCTTGCACAGCTTCGTGCAGAGCTGCATGCCTTGCCAGACCATACCGCCGTGTTCTACAGTGGTCCCACGACAAGGTCAGTCCAGCATCTCTTCACAGATGGAGCTTGCGATCATTCCTGTCACGCCGACTTTGCCCTGGCGGCATGGGGTGTTACTTTGGGGGATGTTGGGTTGGTGGTTTCAGGAGGGTTTTTGCCAGGCCTTCACCAAACCGCCCCACGGGCAGAGCTTACAGCCATGATTTCAGCCGCGCGGTGGGCATTGCAGCATCGCTGTGACACTGTGGTCTGGGCGGATGCTAAGAATGTTGTGGATGGGGTGTGGACTTTGCAAGCTGGTGACACCTCACTGCCAGACGACAATCATGACCTCTGGAAGCGGCTCGCAGCTCTGCTTGAACAGTTGCCAGTCCCAACATTCCGTGTGCAGCATACTCCGAGTCATCTGGACTCCCAGCTCACTGAGAGCCCTTTTGAAGATTGGCTGGCAGCTTGGAACAACCATGTGGACCTCGTGGCCAGCTTAGTGAATCATCAGCGCCCTACACGTCTGGCGGAGTTGCACAAGCAGGCCTTGGTTCATCATCATGGCACTCTTGCACGTATCCGAGCCATTCGATCCATTTTCTTCAACATTGCAGCTGCGCCTCATGTCGCGGAAGACACGCAGCTCCCGGATGAGGAGCACGACGCGCACATCGAGCAGCTCCCACTGGAGCCCGTGACAAAGGTGGTCGACTTGGAAGAAGTCTTAGTGGTGGGCTGGCCGGCTCTTGCTGCGCAGGCCGTGAAGTGCATGCCAACTGATTTTGTACAGGCAGTCTGTGGCTTCTTGATTTCTCAGGACGCACTTTCGGAGCAGGCTTACCGGGTCTCCTGGCTGGAGGTTGTGTTTTTACTTGAAGTCAGTTTGGGTTTGAGATACCCTGTGACTGGCTCAAACGGAGTCCTAGTGTCAGCCGATTCAGTTGTGTTTCGACCTACACCGCCGACAGTGGCAAGTAGGCTTCAGTTTGTTCGTCGGACGGCCAGACCAGCGCTGAAGGCACTTGGCCTGGCAGGTCTTCTGGTGCATGGCCTGGATCGCACGTCTTTGGGGGTTTGTTTCAGGTTGGATGGGCTGATTTGTGGTTTTGATCCAGGCCTTCTGTCCAGGGCACGCTTGCAGCTGGCATGCTTTTGTGCAGCCCGGCATGTTGGCTCCGTGGCGGCCCTGGCTAGGCCACTTTAGTTTTCTTTTCACTTTCGTTGAGACTTTCGTTGGACACGGCAAGCTGCACTGCTTCTGCTGTGCACTTGCTCTCAGAGCTTGAGTGTGCTATAGGGCTTATAGGGCTTATAGGGTTTATGGGGCTTAGAGGGCTTATAGGGCTTATAGGGCTTATAGGGCTTATAGGGCTTATAGGGCTTATAGGGCTTATAGGGCTTAGCCATGCAGGGTTGTAGGGTTTCAGAGGTCTTGAGATGGCTTTATGGGGGCTTCTGAGGGCTTACAGACTACAGGGTCGAAGAGTCCAACCAAGAGTGCGAGCTAGCGGTGAATTGTCGGGCTCAAGCCTTCATGCAGCAAGGCCCTGATGCCTGCGCCTGGTTCAGCGCGCCTACCAGGAGGTCCTGAAATGCAAGGGGTCGTGCAAAAACCGCCGCAGACGTGCGCCAGACGGGCACGTCTAGAGATGTCCACAGATTGAGGGATAAGCATGAAGAATGACAACTGCGAAGTCGAAGACTGACGTCCTGGATGAAGCTGGACAGCTCGAGCGCACTGCTCGACTTGACCTGAAGCTCTCATTGAGTTCTTGGGATGAATGACTTACATGTCACAGGGCCTGCCAAGATGATATCCCCTTGTAAAAAGAACCCAAAAAAGCTACCCCTCATATCGTAAACCCCAGATTCCCAAGATACCAGCCTCCTTCTGGAGCAAGCTCATCCGTTCCAAGGCATCTCTCAGGAAAGACCTCCGAGCAGACCTACGATGTAAGCTCAACTGCTATCCCAGCGGCGACTTCCGCTGTTGAGGCTTGCCGATCAAAGGTGTTGCCGTGTGCCCTGTGCCCTCAAACCCTAGCCATGGGAAAAACGCTGAGCCACGGGCACTAGATCATGCTGATCCGGAAACGTGAGCTGGACCGGCGAAGGCGACGCACGCAGCGATGAGCGCCACGACGCTCGCAGCGATCGCATCTGTTGGCTGCGATCTTCAACTTCTTGCGACCCTTCCTCGGACCAAGGATTGGGGGGCTGTTGCTACGACTTTGCTACCTGTTGCTGCCTCTTGCGAGTTGCGGCAAAGAAACCTTGCTTACATGGGCAAAGATTTCCGACTCGCGGGCCTCATCAGCCTCGTCCTCCGAGGAGAAGAAGCTTTGCGGAGATGGGAATCCTCTGCTCCCCCCTCCTGGCGAAACAGGCTCACAGATTAGCTCAGTTCATGTGATGCTGGTTGCCACCTTGGGCAAGCTGAAGACAGTCTGGCCGGTCAGACGACAGGTTGGACCCCAGGGAGGCCTTAACGCGCAAGTCGTTGGCAGTCGGGTATCATCGGCTTTTGGTCAAACACCGTGCTGGCAGGTGCCACCGGGACTCGGGCTGTTGGAGAGTGGCTCAGATCCTCAGCATTCCCATATAACTTAGCATCACGGAGCAGCATAGGCACAGGAGGATGACCAGATCTAAGCCAGCTGGCGGTTGCTTTCATGAGGAACTCTTGGAAGCTTGGGGCAGGGCATTCACCTGGTCACTGCGGCCGTTGGGGTGTAGAGATGGCTTGTCAAGCAGGGCTTCGAGAAGTTTAGGGGCCTACAGGACGGGAAAAGCACAGAAACTGCAGGCAGAGGTCAGGACCCAGAGCACCCTCCAGAACCCAGAGGCAGGCTGACAGTTCTGCATCGTCTTTCGGATGTAGATCTGGGTCGCGTCGCGTTCAAGTGGGGGTTTACGATAGTCAGGCACCCTAATATAGACCCCATAAGGGTAGGATCCCCTGAAAGTAAGGACCCCTATCGTGTACCCCGACTTTCGTAAACCCCATCTGGGGCAATAAAAACAATCGTGTCCCACAGCTTGGGTCAAAGCTGAGGTGGGCCAGCCCTTCTGCGAGCTCCTCAGCAGAAGGTAGGACGGTCACCTGATGCAGGGTTTAGGGTTTAGGGTTTAGGGTTTAAGGTTTAGGGTTTAGGGTTTAGGGTTTAGGGTTCAGGGCTTAGGATGTTGAAAGACCCTGCAACTCCGCTGCGCAAGGGCTTGGAGGGTGAGGCAGAGGCCACCCCGGCCGTCGCCAGGCCGACGATGTTCTCATAAATCAACTGAAGCCTGCAGTGCACACGGCAGTGCCTCCTAACAAAAAATCATGCGAAACTCGCGCGCACAAGACAGAGTCTGAAGACTGCAGCACCTTTCCGCATCGTCCACGCTGTCCATCCCACGGGGGTTCAGACTGCAGCCGGGATGAGAGCCGCCCAAAGCCACTGTGGGGTTCGGGCTTCTTTGTGAGCTTAAGAGGCTTCGAGTTGCCCACCGCTTCTGCCACTGAAGGCAGAGGTTGTCCTTTACTTTGCTAGGATCTGTATCCCGGGTTTCTCAACATGCCTGGGCTACTAAGCTACAGCTGCATGTGAGCCAGATTCGTGCGGTGCGGTCGACCAACTGTCACATACTCGTGGAAACGTTGCACGGAAGCAGCAACATGAGTGACATCAATGGCGACATGTCATGCCATATCGAAGCTTTTGAAAATGTTGCCTTCCTGTTCGGCATGCCTGTGAGCCAGGAAGTCTGTGATTTATGATTCCGGCTTACAGTGCGGAAAATTCGAAGATTCAGCTGCGTCTAGCCGGCGCTTTCGTTCACCTCAGCTGCTCTACTTTGCTCTAAACCTGGCATCTTCTGTCGTCATGGAAGCGACGACTTCTGCGACATGGACCGGCTTGGTCTTCTGACCCGGAGAGTGTTAGCTTTGTCGGGGCCCTACGTGCTTTGCACGGGGGCGCCTTCCTCAGCCATCATGGGTCTTAGCAAAATTCACGTGACTGCATGTCACTGACATCGTTGAAACGAGGTCCACGTGGTGACGTGGGTACGGATGTCTTTCGACTTGCAACGGTTTCTTCTCCGTGCAATAGCTGCTCACCGCACACTTTTGTCGTGGCAGTTAATGGGGTCAGGGTCAGACAAGATGCTGGACCTTTGCTCTCCATAAAGGCTTGCACACTCGGTTGAGAATTGTTCGATGCTAGGAACGTTCCTTATCGCAGGTCCCCTACAAGGAAGGGCCCCCCCTAGTTATAAGTAGAGTTCTAAGGACCCTAAATTGGGTTACAGGGATCCTAAATTGGGTTATAAGTCCCTTAACTACAGTTAGTATAGTAAGGGAGCCCCTCGTTGCAGCTCCCAGCTGCCAGTAGCTGCATGGTGAGCGACTTGTTGTGTCTAGTCAGCAACATTTTTGTCGGGCTCAGCTCCTTTGCCTTCTGTGCAAACTCTCACTTCACCTGCGTACATGAAAAGAAGCATACCAGACTTCGCTGTCAAGGCCGTGATCTAGTCTCCGCGCGCCTCAAAGCCCAGGGCACGGAGCAGGCGGCCACCATTGCCCTGCAGCGTGACAAGCTTCCCTGAAGCGCGGCACTGTGAATGAAAGATCGTCGCTCCTTGTGCTCGAAGAGCTTCATGGACATGATCTCAGAACGCAGGGCTTGAACGTGGTCGGATTGAGACAGCATGCCAAGAAGATGTGACACATGCCTGAGTGAGCTACGTACCAGAAGGTCTCCAGCCACGGCACAACAAAGTGCTCATTCAACAGGTCGCCAGTGGGAGCTACACAAAGGTAGAAGCCCCAAACCTGCGCAAGGTTGATATGCAAGTATCGCGGATCTGACTCACACTCAATCCCGAGGCCACAACGGAGCAAATGACGCCCCAGTACCTCAGTCGTTGCGGCACTATGGCCCAGTTGGCTTCTCAGACGGTCTGAGAGCCCATCTGCGGATCGCTAATGCCTATGTTGTAGGGAAATGCTGTTGCCCACGGCCTCGGTCAAAGATGTGGCGACTCGAAGAGACGTTCCGGCCTCTTACCCCGGGGTCTCCAGGATGCAGGCACATCATACCCAAGCTGGGAGCCGTAGTAGACCTCAGCGGAGAACCCGGAGAGTGAGAAAGAACAAAGTTTCCCCGTAAAACCCGAAAACCCCCTAACTCCCTGAGCCCTTAAACCCTAACCCCCCTCACACCCCCCCCCTCTAGCCTGAACCCTAAACCCTCGAACCCCCAAGAGCTCGCCCTTCCTTTTTTGGGCGTCCCGGCTCCCTTCGCGCCGATGGTTCGGAAGGTCGCTGAGTTCAGCAGCTGGCCCAGTCCCACCAGGGCCAAGCCAGGGCCTCGGCGCGTTGAATGCTTTCTAGGGGGCTTTTTGCAAGAGGGTTTGGGGTTGAGGGTTTAGGGCTTCGAGGGGTTTTAGGGCTTAGGGTTTCGGAAGGGCCTGGTCTGTGCATTGTTGTTGTTTTTAGGGGGGGCTTTGTCTTGGGATTTTGAGGGTTCTTTTCGGGTTTGGGGGTCTGTAGGGTTTAGGGAAGGTTCAGGGGTAGTCAGTGATCAGGTGCGAAATGCCTTCAGGGCAAGGCTTTGGGTTTGGGGATAAGCTTCGCAGACTTTGATGTACCCTGGTCAGGCTGGGCTTCAGGGTTTGAGGAGCTTGTGGGCAGGACTAGAATGTAAGTACCCCAACTCAAGAACATGTTCTGCTACAGGTGACATTACTTTCCTTAGGCATCTCTAACTGCCCAGGTACCTTAGGGCCTTATGGCCAGAGATGAAACCTGAGGCAAGCACTACCCGGGCGATGACGCCGCACCACGGCTCTTTTCTATCCGACTCACCCACGTCCCTTCCCTTTGACAAAAAGTTGCAATCAACTAGGCTCTCTATACTGTCCGTCAATCACACGGAGTGGAACATGGTTGTCTGGGGCCCCTATGTTCAGAATGGTAGCAGCCAACTGAACAAAATCAAGCCCGGCCATTCCACTCCAGCCCATCCGGGCTAAGCATCGACGCCACCTCTCTTCGCTAACAAAAGCTGCCGAGCCTTTCCTCGGCGTGGATTGGGGCACTCGGCAGGCTTCCACAGCACATGCCGAGCACCTGCCACTACATCGACCGCTCACTTCGTCATCTCCGGGATCTTCTTCGCGACAAAGTTGTACGCCTCAACAGGACGTGTTGGGAGTCATCGTCAACGGCACGGCGTCGCCTTGTGCAGCCTTACAGCGCCTTCCTAGCTTCCTTAAGAACCCCTTCGCCTTCAGGCCATACTCACCCCCCTTCTTGCCAAGGTCTTCCACGGTCGTGACGTACTCGGCGTACTCCGCCAGAGCCCTGCGAGCAGCTGCACTCAGCGGCAAGACCCTACGCCCTAAGCCCTGAAGCCCTGAAGCCCTGAACACTGTAACTCTGGAATGAATCCCTTGGAGCAGATGCGCTGAAACAAGAGTGCTTCGTACATCTACACAACTCAGAGGTGTTGAGGCCAAGCGGCTTCTGCTTCTTCACGAAGTCCATAATTCCACCAGTCTTCAGGCCGTAGCCTGCTCGGGGCAGGCTTTCGAAGCTGTCTTGGGCTCCGGTACCCCTAAACCCCAAACCCAAAAAACCCTAAACTATCTTAAACCCTAAACCCTAAACGACCCTAGACTTCCTTAACAAAGGAACGTAAGGGGCTCAGGGACGTTAGGGATCCGTCCGAGGCGCCGATGGCAGCGAAGATCAGGCCAGTGGTGAAGCCGCCGAGGAGGGGCAGAAGGAGGCCGAAGATGCCCCAGAACACCTTTTGCTGGCAGGGGGGGGGGGGGGGGAGGAGGGGGTTCTTGTTACATAGGGTTTAGGGCTTAGGGTTTAGGGTTTAGGGTTTAGGGCTTAGGGTTTAGGATTAGGATTTCGGGTTGAGGGTTAGGGTTTCGGGTTTAGGTTTTCGGGGTTCGGGTTTACATAGTAGGGTTGTATTCTATGGCGAGTGGCAACAATGGAAAGAAGAGGACTTTTTCTATCAAGCATAATGTGTGCTTGTTCTGAGCAAAGTAATGCAGAAAACGCCGTATGGTACCCTGGCAACACACTTTTGTGAGTTCCTGACTCGATTCCAAGGGGTTTTCGGTGTTCCCGTGCCTTCGTCCGGCTGAGCCCCTGGCAATCGAGGCACTGCCGATGTTCTCCTCATTCTCCTGGACATGGGTGGAGCTTCAGGGTTGTCAACAGAATGGGTCAGTCCTCAAAATCATGATCCCCCATTTCGGGTGCCCTAAATATTCGGGGGCCGCCTTAGACTAGCAACCCCCAAAAAGGACCAGAGTTTAGAGAAGTGACCATATTGGTTCCCTAGACTCTGGACCCTGAAGCGTAGGGACTCTTCAGGCGCGGTCCGGGTACTCCGTCAGGGAGAAGGAGCTTCCACTGCCGGACCTCAACTGGGCTACCGTCAGAAATTCCCCGAAACCCTAAACCCTCAACACCTCAAATATCCCTCCCAAAGCCCGGAACCCGAAGCCTCAAACCCTAAACTTTAAGCCCGAAAAAAAGATCCGAAGCACCCTCAACGTCATCCCTGCCTGAAACCCTGCTATGGTGCTCAGTTCCGGACTCGGCTGCCAAGGCCACCTCTCACCGACGGGAGCGGTTTAGAGTCTGGAGTTGAAGGTTTAAAGGTTAAGGGTTTAGGGTTTAGGGTCTAAACCGCGAAAAATCGAAAAACAAAATTAGAACAAAACCCCCCCAAAGAAGCTCAAATGTGATGGGACCAGTTGCAGCAACGACATGCCTCACTCATGGGAGATTCCCGAAGTTATGGTCCCTTGCGGGGGGTGGTTCCTCGGATATCACAGGACTTCGCAGTTTTCAACGTGGTACCCAGAAAGGGGCCATCACTTAGAGAACTGCCCACATGGCCCGAATGGCCTTGGAAGACAGCTGCACTGACCGCTGCGGCACTCCTGAGACAAAGGCCTCCGGGATGCTTTCGCTGTTTGCATGAGCTGTGCCAACGAGGTACATGTAGGTGGTTTAGGGTTTAGGGTTCAGGGTCTAGGGTGCGCCTGAAGAGGAGGTTACCCGCAGATGGGAATCTAGAGGATCTGTGGAGCAGAGCTGCACTCAAGCATTGAGCGGAACTGGCCTCGCTTCGAAGCAGCACCGCCTCCAGCGTCTAAAAGCAACAACACACATCGGGAGGCCACAGGCTCCCACATGCTGCAGAGACTGGGAATTGCTCATCACATCTTACACTTCTAGGATCTTCGGCTACGTCTGCGGCTTATTGCCGGAGTGGGCAGTGGGCGTAAAACCTGTGACCCGCACCACAACTGCAGCGGTCGCCAGCACTGCCAGAACTCGGTTGGCCATGACTGCTATTGAGGTTCCGGTGCCTGCACAACAGGGAAGAAGCAAAAGCAGCTCCACTCCAGCTAAAGTTGCTACAGCATTGGCGGAAGTTTTTGCAAACAGCTTGCACGAGGCCTGCGGCGTGCCAAAGGTGTCCCGGGCTATAGATTGCGTGGCCGATCCACAACACTGCGATAGGTGCTTCAGTGTCATCACGAGCCCCGAAAGGCCAAACCCTTTTGCAAGCCATTGAGGTACCGCCGTCACGGCTGGGGGTGTTGGGTGGTTTGGGGGTTGTAGGCGACGGAAGGGTACTAAGGGATAAACTGCATAAGGTGTTAATGGGTGCGAAGTATGTCAAGCCTGTTGTGGTGACCCCTCTCTTGCCGCCACTGCTGGGAAGCTCTTTGTGTTCCAGCTCTCCACATATGCGTCTCTGAGACAGAGACTCTCCAGAAACCGTGTCCCGGCTTGACATGCACCTGACCCACTAAATCGATAAAGTGTGTGAGACGGCAGAAGCCTGCATCCATCTCACTTCCAGCTTGATGTTGCTGATCGCAGGCAACTTACAAAGGGTGCCTGTGGAGCAAACGGAGAAGGAGAGCACGCAAACGCAAGATCGACCCGAGCGCCTCGATGCACTCCGCATAGATTCCGGAGAGGGTGTACAGGGACACCTCAGCCGAGACTCGATGGAGAGAGATGCTCTTGGGACTCAGAGAAACTGATCGACCGGCCCCTAAAACTGCCTGCCAGGCCACCAGAAAGCTTATTGCAAACATCCACATAGGCAGAACCTTGCCATGACGCGACATAACCTTAACGTGACCACATGGGCGCAGACGGCGCGCCGAAGCGGCCCGGGCCTCATTCATGCCGGCAATCCAGACAATCCTGAGCGCAAGAAGACTACGTCTTCCAAGCAGATTACGTAGCGTCCGACGGGCAACCTGTGCAAACTGATGGCTGCCCAAGGGGCTCGAAAGCCGAGAAGAGCGGCTGCTGGAACAAGAAAACCTTCCGAGAAGCGCGGGTGGGGATTGCCGAAAACAGGGGACCCTTTCTAGGCTTCCCAAAAATGAGGACCAAAGCATTGCCCAGATGAAGAAAGGAAGCTTACCTCAAGATCCCCTCAGCTCCACAGAGCCTCTCAGATGCAAAGCACATCCTTTTTGACTTGAACTCTTTGAACTCCCAATCTTTTGGGTTTGGGTGGGGGGGGGGGGGGCCGAGTTGAGTTTGTGCCGTGGCCTCGAAGCTGTACCTTCCCAGAAAGGCCAAAGGTGGCGCAGCCAGAATGCACGCCGAAATCCCTCAGAGGGATGCGGGATCTGCAAAGTTCCAGGCAGCGTACAGGTCATAGGCTGAGGGGCTTACATGGGCTCAGAGGCTTCAGGTTTTCAGAACACTTGTTTGAGGCGGACTCTGCAGGCTTAAGGAAGGCCCTGTTTTGGTGGAACCTGCCCGGCCTGAGCCCGCGTCCGCAGCGGAGCCGTAGAAGAAGAGGGCCCAGAGCGGACCCAGGCTGTGGTTGAAGAGGGGCTCCCAGCCCTGGGGAGGGGCTCAAAATTTTCAATCTTATACTCTGTATATATATATATATATAACAATATGTATGTATGTATGTATGCATGTATGTATGTATGTATCTTTCAAAGATGTAGAATGTGGGTACTTGGCCCTTCAGGGGTCTTCAAAGGCGTGGCCCTTTAAGCCTGAAACTCCCGATCCAAAGACTCTCTGACAACCGACACGGTCTGACACTCGAAGCAGCCTCGTGGTAGCCCGAGCTAGGCACCAGCAACCTGGCACAAGCGCAGAAGATCTCACCCGGAAGGATGTGCAGGCTTAAGGTTTCGTGGTTCGAGATTAGGGGCTTCTTGGGCTTCTTGGGTTTTTTGGGCTTCTTGGCCTTTTGGGGCTTCTTGGGCTTCTTGGGCGTTTTGGGCTTTTTGGGCTTTTTGGGCTTTGGGCTTAACGATGCGTAGTGGCACACTTCTTCAGCAAGCTGCAACCAGGCCACACCACAGCGAAGATGGAGATCAAGGCGAGATCTGCAAGGAGACCCCGCAGCCAGGCAGGTGGCAGCCCTGCCACGGCCACGTCGGTTCAAAGGCAAGATATGTGGGGTTTAGAGTTTAGGGTTTAGGGACAACCTATCAAGATTGCTGGGCTCAGCTCTGACAGCGTACCGTGATGCGGAATATGCAGACTACACTGGATCTCATGGCCATGGAGCTTCCGAGCCACCTGACTTTGCAGAGCTTGCATCATGCCGCTTGGCCAGCATCGCTGCAATCTTGGCTGATGCTATATCGACAGCTGACTCGGACCACTCTGATACAGTGCGGTTGTATCGACTGGCTCACCATGACAAGCCCTTCGCCACATCCTACCAGATACGTGAACAACTCAAGTCGGGGCACCACGCCGATTGCAAAATCTGGCACCTGGCTCGGGGGCCAGACATAGGCGAGGTTGTGCTGTGTGTTGGTCAGGAAGCCACCCTGCAGCATGAAGACCGCCAAACTGGGCGCAGCGGATATCATCCACAACCTGGCGGCACGCCACCGCGGACATGTGGGTGTTGGCAGCGTGTGTGGGCACACGACACTTTGGATGACTTGGTGCTGCTGGGGCGCAGAAACACGAGTGGAAGGAGGCCAGGGACGCCATAGCGTAGCTCCATGCGGCCCAGCACATGCTTCATCAGTGGGTAAAGCAGCCTCCCGTCGATGCTGGGTGTTGGGCGAACGATGTAAAGGAGCCTGCTTACCATGCAAGGATGTTGCTTTGTCTGACTTCGGGCAACGAGAAAACCCCTACAAGTAGACGGAAAGTTACACCACCAAAGACCCCAAACAGTCAAAGGCACGTCAAAGACATAGTGGAAACAACGAGAGACGAAGGGAGACGAAGGGAGACGAGGAGCACAGCAACCCGGCAGAGCCACCCACATGAAGGGAGACAAAGGGAGACAAAGGGAGACAAAGGGAGACCAAGGGAGACGAAGGGAGACAAAGGGAGACAAAGGGAGACAAAGGGAGACAAAGGGAGACAAAGGGAGACAAATGGAGACAAAGGGAGCCAGGAACCCGGCAACAGTCCTCAGAATGTCGGCAATCCCTAAATGAATCTGGAACCCCGACTGTAGAGCGTTTGGGGAAAACCCTCAGTCCGGCGACCCTGAAGACCCCTAAACCCTGAGCCACCAGCTGGGCAGGAGTGCCGCGATGGTCCAGCTTTGCCCATCGGGGCACCAGTTTTCTGGCTGTAGCCAGGGCTCTACGAAGAGCATGCAGCGGGCCAAGTGCCTTTTCAGGTGCAAAGCTCAGGGTCTGAGGTTCAAGGCTTTCGGGCTACTCGGGTTCATCGGAAGTAGGGGAAAAAATGGGGGTGTCGATTCTTGCTATTACTCTTGTTCTTGCAGCGTTCAGGCCTTTAGGGACTTTAGGGACTTTCGGCTTGAGGCGATTAGGCGCTTAGCTCACGGGCTTTGAGTCAGGGCCTCCAGCCCGGGATGTGAGTCTGCACTGCCAAAGTGCCAAGCGCCGCCAGCATGGCAAAGTAGGTAGTGAGGGCAACACGGCCAATGCGCCTGCTCAGGGAACTGGTGTGCAGTTCTGAGGTTCGGACTGCTCGTGATGCTGGCTTAACTCTCAGAAATCAACGTGCGCGGTCCTGACGAGGAACTGAAACACAGCTCCACAGCTCGAGAAGTCTCGGGTGCCGTAGGCCCAGTGCGTTACGAAGCCGCCTCTCACAACAAGACGCGCCCCGTGAGTTCTTCTCTCTTGGAGAGCAAAAACTCTCTTTTGCCTCTGAAGCCCCGTGTGCTTGCACCGGTATCTTCGTTGCAAGTCCAAGCAGCTCATCATGATGAAGGCTGCGACGGCAACATTTGCGCGGTCTGTGAAGACACTTGCCTCAAGAACTTGAGTCGCTTAAGTCATTGCTCGAGCATCCCATCATGGCAAGCGGCACCCTTCCCCCCCCTTATACCAACACAGTCCAAGCAAAATAAAAACCCAAACTGCGTAATTCCTGAACCCCTGTAGCACGTGTTAGTAAAAAACCAAGCTGCACGATGAGCGAAGTGGTCCGCGAGGATCCACAAAGACAGAAGCGACCGCGCTCCCGTCAGGTAGACAAGAATGCCTGGCAGGGGTTTAAACTACAAAACAGCCGTTTCCCCCGGGCCACGAGATGGGTAGCGATGCTGCCCAACGACTTCAACAATGCCGGCGTGCCTTTGGCGTCGCCTTCGCCTGCCTGGGGCCTCTTCCAGCGTCCTGTCCCCACGCGGTCGACTCATGCCTCCAGACCCTAAACCCTAAACCCTAAACCCTAAACCCCTGCTAAGTCCTGCATCCAGAACATCTCCATCCTCTGGCCTGGTCAGGATGCTTCATGAGGGCTGCAGCGAGTACAAGAATGGGAGTCGCCCTTTCATGCTAGTTGAGCTACTTGCTGCACATGAGAAACTCTGGAAGCCTTACCAAAGGGTAGAACGCCGGGTCCGCGTCAGCCTGTCAAAAGGGCTTAGGATGGTTTTGTGTTTTGGATGCTTGTCCGACTGCTCTGGTGCCTCCACCGTGGCCTCTTGCAATCTGACTCCGGCACCGCCATTGCGCATTCCGCCGGATATGTGGGTCGAAATTTGGAAGTCTGGCTAGTCAGGATGGCTGGTTGCGGCTAGTCAGGACACGGGCATGCGTGCACAACTATTCATGTGTCAGGACCTGGCCGATCATGAAACCAGCTGAACGGCGAAGCAATTTTGGAGCATGAGCGAATCTGACAGGGGGGCGTCTGCAAAGCTGCAAAAACGATCCGCCCTTGAACAGTGTTGAGCAACTGAGCACCCCGCAAAGCATGCGTGGCTCGGCAAGTGACAAGCTCCTGCCGGACCCTCGGAATCCCTCGGACAAATGCACAGAGCCAGGTGGGTCCTTCGCCATGCGAGATCATAGCCCAGGACGCCAAACCTTAAGCACTTGGGGCAAAATGTCGGCGAATGTGTGAGAAATTGAAGCATCCAGCTAGCACGATCGAGCATGGTGCTGAAACACTTTGATGCCAACACCCAGGTGTTTTGCTACCTGACCAGGGTAGGCAGGCTCGGATTGGCCGCTGCTGATGCAGAGCCATGGTCTAACATGGTGCAACCAGCAAAAGCCCCAAACGGCACACTAGTAGAACTAGAAGACCTGCCAGTACACGCCCTCGTCGTAGTCCAGAAGTGTCTTCAGAGGCCCTTTGCAGCAACGCTTGAAGGACCTCCAAAGAAAATTTCACAAAGACACCCAGGGTTGACAGCTGACCATAAAGACTGAGCTGCAAACTCAGGAAACTGATAGATGTATCCATAAAGAAAGCGCCTCGAGCCAGACTTAGGATGGAAGGATTGAATTCGTTTAAACTGGGGCTGACTAAGGGCAGCACTCAATCCCCAGAAGGGGGAAGGCTGTGAGCTCGAAGCTCATTCAAACTAGGAGCTGTCGATGTCACAGAGCCCGATTCTTCCCTTCGAGGCTGTTCGAGCCAATTCGGTTCAAGATTTCGGGTCTGCAGTGTACAAGGCTTAGGGTTCAGGGTGACCGACGCTGCGACAGCTTCTGATGCGCGCTGCACCTCTTTTCCGACCACCTGCATGCCGAGATCTACGCATCTGTCGCGCCGCTGCTCACGGAAGGAGAACCACGCCCGCTTCAGGCACCTCCTGCTTGGCAACAAAAACCCCTCATCCTCCAGAAGCGTCTTGCCAGCAGGGTTTAGGGTTTAGGGTTTAGGGTTTAGGGTTTAGGGTTTAGGGTTTAGGGTTTAGGGTTTAGGGTTTAGGGTTTAGGGTTTAGGGTTTAGGGTTTAGGGTTTAGGGTTTAGGGTTTAGGGTTTAGGGTTTAGGCGTTAGGGTTTGGGTTTAGGGTTTAGGGTTTCGGGTTTAGGTGAGCCTCGCAGAATGCCAGCTCGGTCATCATCGCCGAGCATCCTTGCAGCCAACACACCTGACACGGTTGACGTGACCATGGGGCATTGCCACTTGGAGCTAATATGGTTGCAAGTACAGTTATAAGTACAATTATAATTGGTTAATAAGTACCATGAACCTCCAAGTACAACTGCAAAAGGAACGCGCAGAAACTGGTGTTTCTCCAGCGGAGGCACAGCTGCCAGCAGCACGAAGAGGTGCCAGAACTGCGCCAAGGCAGGCAGACATATGCACACACACACACACACCAGACTTTTGCTAGGCCGCTAGGCATCGAGCAGAGCTACCCGAAGTAGCCTCAAGCACCGAGAACTTTTTTGCCCGCTAGCCGCCCGGGATGGGTATGTCAGCTACCAGTACATCTTCTTCACTTGCAGAGAGGGACTTTACCACTGTCTGGTCCTGGAGGGCGATCACGCAGCTCGTCCCACAGAACTGATTGCAGAGGTCCGAGTCCCGGCCCAGGAGCCTGAGCTCCTCCTTGCCCACGCGGTTCGCACACACAAAGATCACCTCCTTGCCATGGAGGGGCCTGAGGCGGCTGAGCCAGGCATCGATGGTCTCCTGGGAGAGCTCCGCGTCGCTCTTCTCCGCGAAGGCCTCGGGCCGGTCGTCCGGGTGGTTTTTACACCAGGCGGAGGTGAAGACCAGCAGCTTGGACTTATGCTCCAGGTGGAAGTTGGCAAACTCAAACTTCTCCGGAGGTGCCTTGAAGTCTGCGGGATTGATGTCCATACAGATCCCGAAGCCCACGGGGGACATCGGTAGGCCCTCCACTGCCTCGACGCTCGTAAAGCCTTCTCCTGGCTGGGCCCAAGTCTTGTCCGACTCATACAGGTGGACCTTGTCTACATGCTCAACTACTTTGCCTTTGGGGCTGGTGACGATCATGGAATTCATGCGCTTCCGCCTGATCTTGCGAGGCACTCCGCAGCACACCACGCAGTTCAGCATCTTGGCAACAGACTTGCACCACTTGTGCGTTCGGCCGTTGGCTGGCTCCAGCACAGGTTGGATGTGGTCTGCATCCCGCCAATGATAGCCAGTGAATGCCATCTCGGGAAGCACCAGCAAGTCCAAGCCCTTTAACTCATGCTCTCTCTTCTTCAACATATTTAGGGCATACTCGCAGTTTCGTTCCACCTGGTTGTGAAGCGGATTCATCTGAACACAGGCCACCCGCAAGTGCCCTGGCATGGCGACAAGACCCTGTCATTGCCGTGATAGATGGCTCAGTCAGGAAGTTGTATGCGTCTGCTGCGACCCCTAGCCATCTGTGAGTTGCCCACCATGTGTTGTAAAGACGTGAATATCTTGTGTGCGGAGCTCTCCTTAAAAAGCAAGGTGTATGGCACACGACTCATTGCGCGATGAATTCCTGATCATGGCGGTGAGAAAGAAACCATGTCCGCGTCTGATGCGCATCAGTCCGTGGATGAGACCGAGGGACGAGAAGGGCCTGATGGCTGTGGCCGATTATGTCGAAGTAGCCTGGCCAACAACCTTGGGCTCAGTAAGGGCCTCTAGCACTTTAGGGATCTTTAGGGGTTGGGATAGGAAGCATAAGATTTAGGGCTGAGCGTTCCTGAACCCAGCATTTCATCAAGATCTGGCCTGAGACGCCAGGGCTCTAGGGCCCCTGCACTCAGGCCATCGCGCGAAGTAGAAGAAAGCCCTCGGCATCTGGTAGCGGCGTGCGGATTGATCCATGCACTGCACAGCACACACAGGAAACTCTCTCCATCCTGAGCTCATCTCCCCGCTCCGTAGCTGCCGAACATTAGCAGCAGGTAGGGAAATACGCACGCCGCTTCCTGGCAGACCGTGAGACGACTGGAGCATCATGGAGCACTTGGGACCTTTCAGAAAGAACCGCGCCCCTTTTTCCGTGTGAGACAATTAGCGAGGGCACTGCCATGTTGGCAACGCCCACGCACGGGCCTGTACAGCATCACCCGCATTGCGGCCAGAAGCCGCCGAGCGGCGGAGTCCACAAAAGACTTCCCGAATCACTTGGTCACATCCGCCGTTTCCGCGCAGGACCTGCCAGGGACCGTATACCCACAACCCTTCTCGAGCTCACACTCTTCAAAAAGGTCAAGGCCTGCCTTTCACCTTCGAATCCGACTTGTCCAGGCTGGCTTTCTCCTTCTTTTTCTCATCCTTCCTCTTGTCCTTCTTCTTGTGGTTCAAGACCTGATTGAGCAGGAGCGCATACGCCTTGCATGCTTGTTCCGGCGACCTCTCTAGGCTCACCACATCCTCGTACTGCGCGAGGCCCAGCAGACGCGAATCCAAGCTATCCCTGCCATGTGGATGGTTGTCAAAATCATGGTCCCTCTCTGGATTCCTATTATCATACGGCACCGAATCTTTAGGGTACCCCAAAGCGATCAGAATTTTGACATCCACCCATGTGTAGCAGCGGTCAACTCGCAGAATCGAACGCCAGAGGATGCGATGACTTGCCCTGGCCTTTCGGACTGCAGCTGCCCACAAAGCCTCTCCAGCTCCTGCTGTTTTGAAAGCCACATGGGGGGGGGGGGGGTTTACCATCATAGGGGGGGCTCCCTTCAGAAAGACCCCCAATAGTGAGGACCCCAATAAGGTAACCCCCTAATATCGTAAACCACCCCCACATTGCATTGCATTGCATTAAAAAGGGCCTTTGGGGCATGCCAGGCCAAAGCAAGTGCAGGGACCTCATTGGAGAGCTCATTGAAATCAACGACTTCCTTGGAGGAGGATCATGTCTCGTGTGGAACTGTTGAACAGGCTCATATCCTCGCTTCATCTCCTTGCAGGTCTATGCAGAGACAGGTGCTGGAGTTTCGCCCTCGGTGATGAAGGTGGACGCCTGTCGCAATGCAGAAGACACTGCCCTTGCAATTGTCCAGGGCCTTGTACTAGTGCTTAATGGATGTATGTACTCTGCTTCTGACTACTTCCATGTCATCTGGCGTGCTTCCTCTGTGACTTGGCAAAGCAGAGGTGGAACACTGGAAACGCGCCTGGTCGCGCTTGGACTTCACGCTACCTACAGGCGGCCCATCGCCTTCAAGAGCAGAAGCACCCGAGAAAGACGCGAGCGGCTCTGTTGCGATGAAGAATTCAAGCCACTACTGCAAGCCACTGAATATGCGACGGCCTCGGCTGTTTCTGGTCTTGCATCCTGCCTGGGCTGTGGGTGATCAAGAGCTCCGGGTCTATCAGCCATCAACCGACGCCGCCGAGCATTCACGAGCTAAGTGGGACGCCGCTGGGCTGCTGTCATGCGCTGGCTTGCGCTCAAAGCCCTGCAGATGAAGAGCAGCTGTCGTTGTTAATCAAAACTTCAGCACAACTACACACAAGGTCCATGCCTTCAGGCCTGCACTCTGCACCTAAGATTCTGAACTCGTAAGGTGCTCGAAGGCCCTGGAAGCCAGGCGCTGAGGCCCGAACCATGAAGCCTGAGTCGTCGCCGTCGTGGCCTTGCAAAGGACTGACTGAAACATCTGATATAAAAAAAAAAAGGATAAAAAAAAGAAGAACTCGGATGTGGGAGCAGCTCCAAATTCTGGGCGCCTCTTGTAGCCTAAACTATACGGGGTATATGATCCCTTGGCAGAACAGCCCGCGCGACGAACGCCACACACAAACACGGTATCTCTTCTGGCATGGGGTCAAGCGATGAGTTCTCACATCAACGGCTCAAAAACTTCTTGGTCTTACTCATCTTCGCGAGGAGGGCTCACCTCTTAACCGGGCAGGGGCGCCCTTGAACCAAAATGGGCCTTGCTCGGAGTCGACAATGCTTCCAGAGCAGGAGCGCACCCTGAACAAATCCACAAAGTTACCCAACCCAAACCTTAGAGGGGGGACAGAGGCCCCACAAAAAAGCGCCCCCTCCCATGTCCGAGGCCCGCTGCCACTGGGCTGTGGCCGCTTCGGTGGCGAAGGCCACATCCGCCGACTGAGCAGGAATGGGGTCGAGGGTTGAGGGTTCAGGGTGTCTAGGCCCATCGGGAGCTTGGAAACACGCAGGCGAGGGCTGCGCTGAATTGGAGTCCGCAGCGTTTTTGTTACACAAACCCTTCTTTTCCAAAAGAACCCCACCATGGACTCATTTGGAGCCACCAATACGTGTGTAATTCTCCACCGAGCTGGGGCACTTCTGCTGGATGCACACTCCACGGCTTGCCTTGGCTGCGCAATTCTGCACGCCAATGGGTCCGGACGTCCAGAAGGGTGCATTGAAAGACACGTTCTTTTTTTTTTTGGACGGGGGGGGGGATTCTAAACAGGAATGCTTCATAAAAGGGACCCTAGCCCTAACCACAATTTGCTAGAACCACCTCCACACAGACCCACAATCCGAATTGAGTGCGATGAGGGCACGTACATCAGCTCAGGGGGAGGAGTCGCACCGATGGCACGGAGATCCACGTGCCTCGGATGGGAGCCACACGTGCCTGAAAAGCCAAGATCCTTCAGAAGTCACAGCGTCCGAGCGAAAACCCAAAGCACCTGCACCCTGCCTGCCTCGATGTCAAAGGCACCTCCGTGACCTGGGTACCCAATGAACTGCAGGAGATGCTTCAGGGTTTAGGGTTTAGGGTTTAGGGTTTAAGGTTTAGGGTTTAGGGTTTAGGGTGAAGTCCTGCAGTCCGCTAAGGCAGGATCCTCCAGCGGATCACTGAAGTCGTCAGGGTACTGCATCTCGCTGCAGAACGCAGATTCTGTACCTTCAACTTCCGATGAGCGCTACCCACAGCGGATCGCAAAGAACCTAGGAGACTGTTCAAACTTCTTTACGCATCAACAGGAGTATGTGGAAGCTGGTCTGCGACGAACCTTCACTCCCCATCATTCACTCGTGGCTTTTTTGCTTGCCAGAACTTTGGACGTGGGTGGGCTTTTGGTCAGCCAGAAGAAAGGTATGGGGGTTTCCGAAGTTAGGGGTACCTATAAGGGGTCCCTTATTTTCGTAAACCCCCTTTGCATCTTGATCTGGGGCTGCATTGGCAGATGGGGCGCACCACTTCCAGGCGTCTGACCATCCTCCAGGCAATGACATTGCTTGACTTCTGCCCCTAAACCCTAAACCCTAAACCCTCAAGCTCACGGGCATCACCCAGCAAGGCGTCCTCAAGTGCTGGTGCGTCCTGTTGCTCGTCTGACCTCCAAAAGAGCGGGAGAGTCAGACAATGAAGAAGCTGGGCTGAAAGTACCCTGCCATTACCCTGCCTTCCGGCAATCAGCAGCTCCTCCGGGGGAAAGGAGGCACGGACTGCCTGCCATCGCAGCGCTGCCACTACCATCTCCCAGTCTACCCCGGTCTATGCGAGGCATCAGGGAGTATCCGCAGGAAATGCAGGAACAACAAGGGATTCCGAAACCCCCTGAGCACCTACGGCGCCACACTCGCCCGAATGCTGCAGACCTCTCTCGAGATCTCCCTGGCAAGGGGCCTCCTGGAGCTCCTTCAGAAGGTCCTTGCACTGTTCCGTGACGCACCTGGCCAAAGGCCGCGCAACAGGCGCGCCGGTCCTAGAGAATCAGAGAACTGACAAAAAAATTGTGGGTCTGGCTTGAAGAGCTCTGCCCCCAAGCGGTTGCAGCTGCCTCAAGGGACAAGACAGACAACTTCGGCCCTTGCGTCACTAGCCACACATTGTGCACATTCTTGGGCGTGTGCCGCTGTCCCAGTGGGAAACGATGAGCAACAGATTCTCCAGCCCCATGCGCTTCAGCAACCTCAATGATAAGGCAATGCTGCCGTCATGCCACGAGTGATGACTGATGGCTTTTGCAAACGGATCTTGGTAGCAGACCCCAGCATCTTGCCACCTGCTCCAGGATCGTTGTCATCCTCGCTTTCCATGTGCACCTGGCACTGTGATCAACCCTGGTCTCAGCCTTCCGATCCTTTCTTGGAACGACGATGTCAGACTGCCAGGTCCATGGGCGCTGACGAGTCGTAGTGCAAACCGCGCAAACCCGTCAAAATCGACTGTCTTAAAAGGTCAGAAGGTTAGACGTCGCCGCGTCGTGAACGTTGTTGCTACATGTCCGACAGCAATGGTCACCAAAACGTGAAAAGTAGACATGCCGCAAGAATGTCGCATGCACTACGACGATCACTGATTTGCCATGACTAACAACATAGACACTGCCATGAGCGAAAAGAAGAACATGCTGCACAATAAATTGTTGCTGGTAAATATACGTGACAATGTGGACATTCTTACCCCACCCCAGCCCACCCTCTGCAGTCTCTTTGCAAACCCTCACAGCGGAAGAGCAGAAGTAGAAGTAGTAGAAGTAGTAGAAGTAGTAGAAGTAGTAGAAGTAGTAGAAGTAGTAGAAGTAATAGAAGTAGTAGAAGTCGTAGAAGTAGTAGAAGTAGTAGAAGTAGTAGAAGTAGCAGAAGTAGTAGAAGTAGTAGAAGTAGTAGAAGTAGTAGAAGTAGCAGAAGTAGTAGAAGTAGTAGAAGTAGTAGAAGTAGTAGAAGTAGTAGAAGTAGTAGAAGTAGTAGAAGTAGTAGAAGTAGTAGAAGTAGTAGAAGTAGTAGAAGTAGTAGAAGTAGTAGAAGTAGCAGAAGAAGTAGAAGTAGTAGAAGCAGAAGAAGAAGTAGCAGAAGTAGAAGTAGAAGTAGAAGTAGAAGTAGAAGTAGAAGTAGAAGTAGAAGTAGAAGTAGAAGTAGAAGTAGTAATAGTAGTAGTAGTAGTAGTAGTAGTAGTAGTAGTAGCAGTAGCAGTAGCAGTAGCAGTAGCAGTAGCAGTAGCAGTACTAGTAGCAGTAGTAGTAGTCGTAGTAGTAGTAGTAGTAGTAGTAGTAGTAGTAGTAGTAGTAGTAGTAGTAGTAGTAGTAGTAGTAGTAGTAGTGGTAGTGGTAGTAGTAGTAGTAGCAGCAGCAGCAGTAGTAGCAATAGTAGCTGTTGCTGTTGTAGTTGTAGTTGTAGCTGTAGTTGTAATTGTAGTTGTAGTTGTAATTGTAGTTGAAATTGTAGTTGTAGTAGTAGCAGTAGTAGTAGTAGTAGTAGTCGTCGTCGTAGTAGAGCAGGCCACTAGCAGCATCAACTTGTACTTGCGGTCATCATACCAACTCCTTCAAATTACACCCGAAGCTCAAAATCCTCAATCCCTGGCCACCAACACCAGGCCTCCCCATCAAATGGCGAGACGATTCGGTACCTGGCAGACACCTATATTACCAAACCCCCTAGATTTGCCCTAAATCCCCGAAATCCCTTAGATCCCCCCTAAGCTCCCCTTCATCCCCTGTAAATCCCCTGAAACCCGACCCTCCCTTCCTTCCGCGTGCTTCGGGGGGGGGGGGGGGGGCCCTCTCACGGGAATTATTCACAAAACCAGGGTTACTTAAATTTGTGGTGGGACCTAAACCCTAAAAACCCTACATAAGTTACATTAGGCAGCAAAAAAGAGTCCATTCCAAGGGGGTCCCCCCAGACCTCAAAGAAGGCTGGGGTGCGCATAGGGCCAGCTCCGGACCGACTTGAAGTTGGAGCGTTTCTGCAAGGACTCGAGGACCTCAAACCAGATTTCAGGGGATGGCTTTGAGGCTTCGGGATTCGGGGCTTGAGTTGCAGAGAGCTTCGGGTTCAGGGGCTTTGAGGTGGGTGTTCGGGATCTGGGGCAGCTGGGTTCAGAGAGCAGCCGGGTTTAGGGCTGGGGGCTTTGGGTTTGTTCTGGATTTGAGGCCGAGCTTGGTCTCAGATGGGCCTCGCGAAAAACATACGCAGCAGTCACGGACGTTCTAGACTCGGATCCCATAAAGGCTATCATTTCCCCAAAACAGACCCCAAAATGATAATACTTAAGCAAGAACCCCAGTTGAATCTGCAACAGCTGAAAGCGCATGGGAAGATGAGGCCCCGAACTCGCGGCACCTGCAGGGGATCCATCACGCAGCAGACATGTGCCTGGCAACACGGAGGACACCTTTCCGTTGAACGATTGCAATGAGGAGCCTGCAGCGTCCCGTGCCTGAAAGGTGCTTCGGTTCGGGTACGTCCGACGCTTGCCCGATGTCATGGTGCCTTGCCGACTGCTGTAGACAAAACCGGCTCCGATACTGGAGTAACATGCTAGCCAGGGTTGCCTCTCATCTGACCGCTCCGCGCACACTTGCGCACACACTAGTCTCTCAGAATCTTAGGCAAAAATGAGTGAGGAGCTCATTGGCAACGCCATCGCCCCATCCTTTGTCATGCGAGCACAGGGACATGATTGGAAAAGGCCCCCGTGAAGCTTGTCAAGACACCCTTAACCCAAACCTCCTTCCCGACAAACCCCAACACAAAGCAAATCCGAAATCCAGAAGCCCCGAAACCCTACATGAACCCTAAATACCAAAAACCCTGAACCTTAGATAACCCGATATAACCTGTCAATCCGAACACCTGAAACTGAAACCCTGAAACCCATCGGGGGGTTTCCGAAATTAGGGGGTGGGGTACCTTCTTGGGGTGGAATCCTACTACTTGGGGGTCCTAAACCCTAAACCCTAAACCCTAAACCCTAAACCCGAAACCCGAAACCCAGAAGCCAAGGGGCTGAGAGAAGGTCAGGCTTTGGGAGGCGCGCACCCTCCTCGGGCTGTCGGCCCAGGAGCCCTGGGCCCAGGGCATCGGGATAATTTGACTTGGGGGTTTTGGGGGTTCAGGGTTTAGGGGTTCAGGGTTTCGGGGTTCAGGGTTTAGGGGTTTGGGGTTTAGGGGTTAGGGCTAGGGGTTAGGGCAGGGTTTAGGGCAGGGTTTAGGGTTTCGGTTTGGGGGGTGCCGCAGGCCTTGGCGGAAACGCGCCTCCTGCGCCCAGCCCCCCCATCGCAGGCCACCTAGGTGTGCTGCATCGGTCGACTGATTACCGACAGGCTCTTCGTAGGGAATGAGGGAATGAGGGTACCCTGTATCCCCCTATATAACCCCTTAAAGAGTATATATGGAGTCCTAATTCCCTCCTTCCATACTAAGAACCAGGGCGGATTGTGATTGATTCTGGGGGCCATCATAGGGCTGAGAGCTTACATCCGGCTCTCATCTTAGCCCGGTGCTGTCGCTCGTCGAACTCTGCGGCCAGTCTGCGGCAGGACGGTTTAGGTTCTTTCCTAAACCCTAAACCCTAAACCCTAAACCCTAAACCCTAAGCCCTAAGCCCAAAGTTCTTGTACCAAGGTCCGCAGAGGGGCCTGAAGAAAGAGTAAAGTGGCTTCCGTGCACCGTCTGCAAGGCAGTCTGCGCATCCTCTGGGAGCAACAGCGACTGCAACATCCATGACAGCCCATGGAGCGTTCTCACTTAGGGTTTAGGGTTTAGGGTTTAGGGTTTAGGGTTTAGGGTTTAGGGTTTAGGGTTTAGGGTTTAGGGTTTAGGGTTTAGGGTGACGCAGGGGCATGAAAGGGCATGCAGGTCCTCGTCGTAGTCAAAGGACCCACTTTCCAGGACTGGGACGGCCTCGAAGCAAACTGAGGCCCAGCTCGGCTTAAGAGTAGACGCTGGAGAGTTTCTCTTTAACAATCTGGGGCTCAAGTGCTCACAACCTAAGAGAAATATATATATATATATACACACATATATGTATATATACAACCGATATATACATATACACATATATAGAATCTGAGAAATGCCAGAGGGGCAGTGCCTCCGTCACAGCGAGCAGCCCTGCAACCCGCATAGCTTTTCTGCAGTGACGTTCTATTCCCACTCACTGGTCCGGGACGAAGACGCTCGGCGCCGGCCCTTGCCGCACTAAAATGCCATCCTAGCTACCAACACCAACCAAAACAAAAAAATGAAAATATATGGCACTGGAAAGCACCTCTAGATCATATAGTTTATAAGCATAGAGAAGGTAGGAATAATCCTGATCTCATCCTTCAACCCTTGGCGTTCTCAGGACTGGCGCTGGAAAAGTCCGAGACTGGCTTAGCATGGATGGGGTGGCGATGCTCTTGAAACGTGACCGAGACATCGAAAGAAGCTGGGGACTGAATGTCGGATCAGCGAAACCGCCACCCTCTGGATTTCAAAGCTTCAAAGATACTTGCAACTGTGAAACAGAACATCATTGCAGAGAGCACTCTGGCCTTGAGTGAAACAACTTTCAACACTCTCATGCTCGACACAGTTGACACAAGAGGTGCCAGGCTCTTTGATCCCGTGCACCCTTTGGCCGCATTACGCTTACCCTTGCTCATCATATGTAGCGATTGAAGACCAACCGCTATACTGGCCGTTTCATTCGCCATAATTGTCAGTGATCATGGTGTTCTTGACAATGGTCCAAACCTTCAAATAAGCATTCTTCACCGGCTCAGTGAAATGGCGCGTAAGTGCCACCTCCAATGTGGCAATAAGTGCTTGGCCGACCACATCATAGTGCGCCTTCTCCACTCCGTAGCCCACGTGTTTCAGGCCCAGGCTTTGCAAAATCGGCACTAAGGTATCGAGGTCCTTGAGAAGTGATACTGCTGTGGCCACTGTCTCAACCACCTTCAGCGCATGCACTTCCAGTGGACTCCCAGGTCTCCACATGTGAGCGTCGCCTTTGGCGAAGGGAAACAACTCCACGGCACCCGGAGCAATCTTGAAAATGTTCATGAATAAGATCCGTCCAATGGTGTTCGAACCAAGCATCGCAACCCTTAGCTGAAGAAACTGCTCTGTGCGTGGCTTCCGCCTCAATCTTGAAGCCCCTTTGCAAGACAAACCAAACCACCCCCCCCCCCCCCCCGCAACCTGAGCCCTGAACCCGCCCACAGCAGTGCGACGAGAACTTCTACTGACGACCTGCGGCCTACCCTAGAAAGTCTTGCTGTTCAACCGAAGTGCCGAGCAAACGTCTGCTGGACCAAGTCGATGTCCCTTGCATCCAGTGGAGCGTTCACATCGACCGGAGGACTCTTCAAATCAAGGGTAATCGGCGTCGGGTGGTTTTCCCCAACCACGGCCATAGCACTTCTTCTGCCAAGGCAGGAAGCTTGAGCTGAATGCTACCACAGGGACTGCAGTGACAAGGGCAACCAAGGCAACGCATTCGGAGCCTCCACAAAGCACCGTGAAAAACACGTAGCAAACTTGGGCACGGAGTCTTAGGCGCACGCCCGCTGCAGCTCATTCAAGAGCTCGGGGCTCCACTCTTCCTGCCTCAGCGCTTTCTCAGCAAGATTTCTGAGCTTGTGAGCCCCTGGGATCGGATGACTCTAAGCTGGGCACAAAGACAAAGCCATCAAAGGGGGCGCAAGACGATCATGTGCCAAAAGCTGTGGCTACTTGTACATTCTGTGCTTCCTCGCTCGGGTGTCTGCACACTCCGCCTTGGTGGTGGCATTTTTTGCGCAGCGGAATGAGACCCCTAGAAGTTTGGGCCCAAAGCAAGAGTGAACAGTGACATGGCAAGCTAAACAGACTTCAGAGCTTCTTCGGGTAGGGGTTTTGGGGCTTAGGGGATGTGTAGGGTGCAGGTTCAAGATATCTCTGATTGCATTGACGCAAAGAAGCACCATGCGCCAAAGGCCCCGTTCCTTTGCAGTGGCTGTGCACAGAAAGTGCACCTCGGTACTGAGATACAGGGAGCTGTTCCCAATGCCGCATGCCCATATCGTCAAAGGCTAGCCGCACATCTGGGGGGTTTCCAAAAATAGGGGTACCCTTTTTGGGGGTCCCATAATCAGGATTACGGCATTTGGGGGGTACACTCTTAGGGGCCCCTTCTTTTCGTAAACCCTCATCTGGGGCACCGGCTGCAGGTACAAGCCCCAGCACCACACAGAGCACCATGTGATGTGCCAAGTCCTGGCCATATCTTGCAAAAGTACCAAGCCCCCACCACACTTTCACAACCCATGAAGAACGAGCATTCTTGGACCCGCAATCATCATGCCCCTCCTTCACCATCTCTGGCTTCAAGAGAGGCCTGGCTGGGAAAACACAGGAGGGTACCCAAAGCACATCATGAGCAAGCCTCACGTCTCAGGCTGACCCGCACATTTCGGCACTTCCCATCACTTCTTCACTGCGCAGACGACGTAGAGGGGATCTGTGTTGGGTGGTGACAGATCGGCAACCTCGGGATCGGAGAAGCAGCCTGCAAAATGGAAGTAGCTCGCCGCCACTTCCGCGCGATCGTCTGGGTCCCCCGTGCTCCAGAGGGCTACGAGCTTTGACCTTACTGCTATATCCCCCTATGTAAGGGATTATATAGGGTACCCTCATTCCCTCATTCCCTACTAACCAACGGCAAGCGACAGAAAGCAGCGGTTCGAGAAGGCCACGATCGCAAGGCCCCCGGGACGCAGAACCCGGCCGACCTCCGTGAAAACCTCAGCGTCTCAGTGGGAAGTAGGTTTGGGGGTCGTTTTAGGGTTTAGGGTTTAGGGTTTAGGGTTTAGGGTTTAGGGTTTAGGGTTTAGGGTTTAGGGTAAGTTTAGGGCTTATTTGGGGTTTTCATTCCGGGTCATTGGGTCATGCATCTGCTACACCAGCACTGTTCGCACAACTGTGCACTGATCAGAGCCGCGCACCTCCAGCGGCTTGGTCAAGTAGTCCACCGAGACCGTGTTGGTGACAACGTCGAACTCGGCATCACCATATGGAAGCCGAGGCGTCGCATTCAGATCCTGCACAGACCAGTCTGTCGCCTGCACGTTGCGCTTGAGCTCCTCGGCATTCATGCCGGTGATGGCCAAGCGCGCTGGCTTGGGCTCCTTCGGATAGTGGGACACCCAGGATGAACATATGTCCAAGGCGTCAAAGGGCCGATCTTTTGGAAAAACTGTCGCATAGAATCTGGTGAGCGCGTCGAGCGTCTTGTCCTCCAGGTGCTTCACAAGCTTTGGCTCAGCATAGAACTCAGCATCGTCGCTGCTATCCAGACGAAAGAAATCCCGGGCTGTGTAAGGCCACTGTGCAGGATACACCGTCTTGTCCAGCGCATGAGCAACCACGCTGTCTGGATTCGATCCTGGGATCGCAACCGTTGTCCCTCCGACGGTGTGTATCACAGTCAGTTTGCTGGCTGCTCTGGCACGCTTGCCTACCACTAGGCTGGGACCTGCCACTGCCACACAGGCCAGGACCCAAGCATCCCGCCGAGACGTGGACTGGTTCGGCTCCCTTCTGGGCCGCTCGGGGGGCAAAGGCCCTGGAGCCCAAGGTGTCCAAAATATCCCAGGTGTCCCAGCCACTCTCGCATGGATTGGGATCATGCCCAAGCTCTCAAAAGCTTCCGGATTCCTACTTCCTGCAGCTCGAGCTCGAGCCGACATCATGATGGCACGGCGCTGCTGTATCCGAAGCGTGGCGTGCAAGCGTGGCGCGTGGGCACGGCCAGCGCAAGGGAGATCAGGGCGGCGTAGAGGAGGTAGAAGCTACGCAAGGCCTTACAAACCCATCCACGGCTCTTGAAGTAGGTCTACGGGTCTACGACACGCTTTGGGCGTTGACGGGATAGCACCGGTAGCCAAGAGCCTCCAGTCGCCGTGGCTATCACACACAGACCGGTTCATGCGCAAGATAACGTGTTGGGCATCGGCGATACCAGTGAAGTACCTCGCAGCCCGGCCGCGATCTTTGCACATGAGGTATCCTTCACCAGAAGCTGGGAGCACGATGCAGCAATCAAGACCACAATGCCTGTGAGATCCATCTTGTACCTGAGATAGACTAGCAATACCAGAAAAGCATGAGTCATCAAGGCCGACGTGCAATCGAAGGATCTGGTATTGGGACGTATTGGGTTGCAGGCGTGCAGTCTCGAACGCTGACACGGGCACCTGGGCTCAAACCCCCTGACGCTGCAGCAGGGTGGCGACCAGTAGCAGCTGAGAGCACGGCAAGAGCACAGGTGAAAGACAACAGAACAAATGCAGCAGTAGGCACTGGCCACCTAGCAGGGCAAGCTATAGCCTTGTTACAACCAGCCAAGACAAGAAAGTTTGTAAGGTACAGGCGACCAGAATGAATATCCAAAGAGTCGCAGCCTGGTCGACTTTCCACGCTTTTTGCCGGATGGCCTCTGACCGTGCGACCCAACCATCAACCTTGACGGGTCCGTTTTGCCGGGCTGGGCGCAATGCCAGGCAGAGTATATAAATCATGGAACTTCGTCGTAAAGCAGTTCACATCAGTGTGCATGGAGCACCGACTGTCTGTGACACTTTGGTCAGGTAATGCATGAGCATGTATACGCTGCACCGGAAGCCATGTCCATCTACGAATGTTCATGCGATTTGCTGTATACAGCTCTTGCATGTACTTGCTGGTCTCAACGCTCCAACGATTCGCTGTGCGCGAGAGCACATTAAACCGAGCCTGAACACCTGACACACCCCGAGCTCCAGGGGAAGACGCCTGGCTTGCCGGGCCTCCCACAAACAAGTCGGCGCTTCCCGGGATGCCAGGAAATCGAAAACGCAATCACAAGGCTCCCCTCAATCCGTTCGTCCCACTGGAGATCTGTAGCAGAAGAAAACCTCCCAAGGCTGCCAAAGTTCAGAAGTCATGACCACAGGAACCATCATGGTCATCATCTAGCTTTTCATATCAGGGATGGCTGAGAAAGAACCGCCCTTTGCACCCTCTTCATGGTGACGGCCAAGTCGCTAGCAAAATGTGAGAGCATCAGGAAGTGGACGATGTGGCCAGCAGCGGCAAGTCCTCTTCAAGCTTGGCAGTTCTGCTGCAGTTCTGCTCGCCACACATCATGCTCACAACATCCACTGCACGTCGCACGTCGATGGCTCCTGACAAGTGCTTGATTTTCCACGCTGTGATCAAGTCTTCGAAGACATAAAATCCTGTCGAGTGCAGTCCAGGGGAGACTCTTTGCAGCAGGTGCGGGTTGTTGCTGTGATGCACTTCATGCTCGTGCCACAGGACTGTAGTCATCTTGAATTAACATGGAATATTCTCATTCAGAAATTAGTTTCCCGAAACCATAAGAATGATGTGACTCAGGATCAAACGTGCCACGAACGGGTATGCCCCCGGGTATGAGGGGGTTAGCCGCTTGGGGCACACACACAGAGACACACCTTAACATCATTGCTGGATTCAAGGTAGCGAGTGCACAGAACAGACTGGTCCAACTGCTACATCATCAAAGTGCTGGGTGCAGCATGCGCAACCACGAACGTCCACCACATCCATGCAAGCACAGAAGCACCAGATCCAGACAAGATGCCTACCAAGAACACCTGCATGGTGCAGCGCACTGACACGCCGTGACATGCTTGTGCACAGACAAACTGCATCCCCTCGGTGCTCATGCAGGCAGGAGGCAAAGAAGAAGAGCGCTTGCCGTTGCAGGTCAACGCCACCGGTCCGGGTCACCTCAGAGAGCTCGCATGTGAGCGCCGCTGAGCCCTTGCACATCCTTGTGCTGCGTCTGAGTGGCGTCGTCGTTCTTCTTGGCAGACTGGTGCACCATCCTGGGAACTTCGGAAGCTACAAAGCCCCCCAAAACATCCCAAGAAGCAAACAAGGGGGGCTTTCTAGCCCCCACAGTTCATGCCAGGCAGCCACACGGCGGGTACGAAGCCCACGACTTCGATGTAGCTCGAAGCCGTGAAGATTGTGTGCTCAAGCAAAAGGTACGGCCTTCCAGTCTCCCAAGAATATGGTTTTTAGGGTTTTGGGGGTTAGTTTGGGGTTCAAGAGTTTAAGAATCTCTCCTACGCAGCGACCAAAAAAATTCAGCCGCGCGGCGTGTCATACTCGAAGATCTCTGTAAGGAGAGCCCCGATGCCCGCTAAGATCACCAGGCACAGTACATCCATGTGCTCCTTGGTTCTGCGATGGGCAGGACACTTGACATGCTGCACTGGCCACGGAGTCCTACAATAATACATCGCCACATTGACATACGAAGAATCGTGGTAACAAGATTGAGAATTTGGGATGTTCCCCCTTATACTAACAGTCCATCATAGGGATTATGGTAGCCCCTATTGTAATCCCTATTAAGAACTGCTAGCATTAGGGGAACATCCCACATCATAATGATAGCTACGACCTGCTTGCTCAGCTGTTTGCAAGGCAGGCGGCGGTGACGGATTCCACTTTCCACTTGAAGCGAAAGCCAGCTTGCAGCCTGCCACAACGCTGGAGTGTGGAGTGTGGGAGCCGTCGTCAAAAAGACTCTAGGTTCAACTGGGGAATCTACTTGTGGATATGAGGACAAGCATGTTCACCCATGTTTGCCTTGTGGTTGTTGAAATACCCGCAACCCGCATATCGAAGGACCATCACTTGTCTCGTTGTGACTTGAAGACACAATTGGGCATATGCGTGCGGCCACGAGACACGGCGACCACGGCGATGGTACCCGCAAGGTTTGACCAACCAATTCCTACTTCCATCAAAGGCCACGCCTCGGGACGATCCACTTCATTAGAACCGAAGGCTTCGGTTGATCTTAGCCTTCATTCAGCTCTTGCATGTCGCACCCAATTGCGTTAAGCCGGGCCACGCAGACTCGAAGCGTCATGAAGCATCCATGCAGGAGCAGGACCTCTGCAACTGGAAAGGTTGCGGCTTGCTGCAAGGCTTGGGGTTGGGCTGAAGGCACTCGACCTCAACCCTCAACCCTAAACCCTAAACCAAACGCTTCGGCCAGTTGCCTTGATGCCAAACATCGCCAGCATCGCCTCCGGATCTGGACAGGACCTGAGCTGGGCTTTAGGGTTTGGGGTTTGGGATTTGCGGGTTTCGTAGGGGTGCCGTAGGATTTGTAGGTTTGTAGGGTTTCATAGAGGGGCCAGCTAGCTTCACACAGCATGCCACCGACATCGAACGGTGCAGGAGATAGCTGAGGGCACTGGCGCTATTCTCAGCTCCAGGAACAGCAAAGGCAGCATCTGTATCACCTGCACCAGGGCTCTGTAGATTCAAGGCCATCATGGTGTGGGGCTGAGGGTTTGGGATAGATTTCGGCTTCCACGTTTGAGGCTCCGGACTGTTTAGGGTTTAGGGTCAGCGGAATCCGATGCACTGAGAACTTGCACGGCACGAACAGTGAAACACAGCATGGAGTCCGAACGACTCGCTGACTTGCCAAGGGGCTATTAAACCCAGAAAGATGGTGGAAGAGCCATCATTTGCATCCTTCCTGATCATGCATACACGAATCTTTACAAAGTTTCAGAGAGGCATGCTAAACAACAACGGGGAGCATCTCGTGCCAAGGTTCGCCGTAGCATGGCACCAGATCAACAGTGCCATCGCTGCGAGAATCAGAAAGCATGGGAGTATCATATTCATAGCTCTCCCATGCATCGCTTTCCTCAGGCGATTTTGCATAAAATGGGGGGGGGGGGGGGGCAATCGAGGGCCCCATCTTGGGGTATCTTGAGGGGTTACCCTTTTTTGGGGAATACCCAAATGGACCATCAGCTTTCTGTGTAGATCAGGCTCAGAGAAACCGAGGATTCAGAGTTCAAGGGAGAAGCGAGGAAGTCAATAAATGGCCAAGCACAGAATTCAATGGAAGCTTATAGATTTTATCGACAAGGAACTGCAGCCACAACGCTCCACCGCCCATGGCTGGCAAGAAACTGCTGTTCGGGATACTGATGCAACAACCCTAAACCCTAAACCCTAAACCCTAAAAAGAGGAGCCTGTTCTTAAATCACTTCCTGGCTGCGGGGTGGGGGATCCAAGGTGAGTAGAACTGTACTTCACTCAGCTGGTTCATCGCAGCATGCTTGGAATTGCTGAGCCAGTCATCATCAAGGTTGGCTGAGCGCCCAAGGAAGAGCAAGTTGGGATGAGTCACTTGAACTTCTTGCTTCAGGGAAGTTCGCTGCTTCAACTGCATGTGCCTGCTGCTGAAAGCTGCTTGCTCTCGCGAAACCCAGGGCTGCATCCACACCAACCCAGGCCTGCAATCCATGCAGAAGTAGCGGAAGAAGGATCAAAACTCCGTCTCGAGGCTCTGGCAAAGTAGCCGGCTCCAATCATGTGAGACCAGATGTTGCCTGGACAGGCCACGCACGCAAGCGCGATTGCCACAGATGCCACCAGTGAAGCCTGCAGTCGCTGCCCTAAACCCTAAACCCTAAACGCTAAACCCTAGACCCTAAACCCTAAACCCTAAAGCCCTTCTTGGCCACAGATGCATCTGAGCTGCCAGTCTCGTTGTGAATCCGGAACATGCTCTGCAGCAGGTCCCAGGGCCCTGAGACCACGGCAACATTCCAGCACGTGCCACAGAAGGCGTAGAAGGTGTCGTAGTATTTAGGGTTTTTGTAGCGTTAAAACACCCATTTAGGGTTTTTAGGGCTATTGTAAGCTTTAAAAAAAAACCCTAAATGTCGCGAAACTCTACAGAACTACGGCCCGAAACCCCTCAACGCCGAAGAGATGTCCCAAAGCATGATCTCCTCATCCCTGACACTTCCAACAGCGAGGACTTGGGCCTGCAGGTGGTGGCCTGTAGCCCCAGTGGATGAAAGGCACCTTCTGTCTGGCCGGCCTGGGCGAGGGCGTGGGAACCATGGAAAAAGTGGAAAAGCGGATAATTAACCACTTGGCTTTCACTTGGGAAAGCACACATCCGTGTGGTCCAGCAAACCTGACTCGCGACTACCGAGACCAAGCAGCTCAACCTGGCCTACGACCGAATGCGCCTTGCCGTTTGCGGAGTTTGTTGGGCAGCCATGCCTGCGATCACACGTGACGGAAACTGTGGGCCATCATGGTCCGCTGTGTCCCCGTCAAGCTCTAATATGCTATATATGCTTTGCCATCGATGCGGAAATCCCGAACCTCTGGAACTGTCGGTGGGGGAGGTACGCCCGTTGCATCCTCAGCTCTTCTTCTCGCGGAGATTTCATGGGGCTGCAGGGTGTTTACAGCAATATAGCGACTTCCACGGGTGAAGTGCCGGAAGAAGCTTCAGCTTGCGCCAGGGCGCCATGTCATCGGCCGTGGCAACTCCTCCAGCCAGAGCGACCTGGCTCTCACCGGCCAGCCAAGCCCTCTGAAATCGCAGTCACGCAGCCGAACCCTGGGGGCCAGGACATCAAACACTTGACCTAAGTCCCTCTGAACCCAACCGCTCAAGCACCTTCAGACCCTCAACCCCCAAACCCTGCAAGACCCACGAAACCCTGAGCCCTCTTGAATCTCGAACCTAAAGCAGATCACAAAGCCCAAAGCCCGGCTGGGTAGACGCCATCCACGGATGGCGATCAGAGAATCCGGGAAGGCAAAGTGCGAGGACAAAGCTTACAGTCAGGATTTAGGGTTGATTAGGGTTTAGGGTTTAAGGTTTAGGGTTTAGGGTTTAGGGTTTAGGGTTTTAGGGTTTAGGGTTTAGGGTTTTAGGGTTTAGGGTGACGCAGGGGCATGAAAGGGCATGCAGGTCCTCGTCGTAGTCATCCTCTGGGAGCAGCAGCGACTGTAACATCCATGCCAGCCCATGGAGCGTTATCACTTAGGGTTTAGGGTTTAGGGTTTAGGGTTTCGGGTTTCGGGTTTGGGGTTGGGATCTAGGGGCACAGCAGGGCGGTTTGGGGCTTCAGGGTCGGTCCTCTAAGACACAATCCGAGAAGGGCAGTTTCTGCTGCAGCTGGGCATGTCTCGAATGTAGCTTGTACTCTAAGGTTGCATGACTGAGGTGATCCAGATACCCCGACCCTGGACCCATCAAGCAACACTTGAAAATTCTGCTTCTGTTGCGAACAGCTTGAGAAGGTCAATGTGGCCACACATCCCCTCGCTCCCCCACAGGCCCTTCAACTGTTGCAAACGCCCGTTGAATGCGTAAGGTTTTCTTGTCACGAACAGAGATACAAAGACCGACCAAGATAGTTTGCAGCTGCCAAGGGGAGAAAGAGAGCGAATCGAAAGAATAAGGACCGAGAATGTCGAGATGTAACATATATTCCTTCGCTGTCGGCCTCATGTGGCACCAACAAGGACACGCGTGCTTGAGATAACGCACAGCCGCGACGCAGTGCTTTTTGCCCTCTCCGCAAAGCGCGTGCTCTCCATGAGCTTGAGACAAGGGCCGAGATGTCGAGGTCAGTTGCCATGTACGTAGCACGCTCGGAGGGTCGGGTCCCATTGGGAGGCCTCTTTTTGAGAGAATACCTAGAAGGGACCCTGACTTGCAACAACAACCCCCCACAACCCCTCATAGGCATTGACTCGGACGTTCAGCGCGGGGTCCTCGTGCCCGCTTTGTTGGCTAGGCTGCGGTTGTGCGTAGCTCAAATGGCCACCGCTTGTGACACGCTCGCACGAACGAGAGAGAGAGAGAGAGAGAAAGAAAGATAAAAACAAAAAAAAGAGAACAAAATAAGCAAAATGAGAGAGAAAGAGCAAGAGAGAAAGAGAGAGAGAGAGACGCACAGAGGCTCGGAGAGCCTCACTCAGAAACATGGGATGGTGTCCAGCATACCTTGCCAACTTTCGACCTGACACTTGCAGGGCACTCAGCGACACCTTGCACTTCCAAAATCGTCTTTTGGGGCCCCCGACTCGCTGCAGCTCCTAGGATCGCAGACCATCTTCAGAGGACCGTCTGTTGGTAGACTTAGAAAAAAAGACAATGGACTGCACCATGATTTTAACAGTGTAATATACTACACTACGTTGCATAAGTTTCGCCCCCCCACCCCCCGTCTGAGCCTTCGAGCTTGTTTGTTTTGGTGCCTCCGAGTCTCTGAGGTCCACTTCCAAAGTTCCCGGTCGCACCCGGACTCGAAGCCGCAGAGCGCCTCCTGAGAGTCGCAGTTGGGCTCAGCGTAGGCCGCGCACCTCGGAGCCGTGCACACGAGTGATGGGCGTGTTAGCTGAAGATCCACGGAGCTCTTCAGCCCCAAAACCTATTTCTGAGCGAAGTCGGGCATCTGGTGAGCTATGTTGGGCTATGGCTGAAGGCTCCAAGTGCATTCAAGGCGCTCGTCCTTGTACGGCGTGTCAACGATCTTCCCTGCAGCCTTGGGCAGCAAAGCTGCAGAAGCATTTTGGGGTTTGACATGGGGGTTTAGGGTTTAGGGTTTAGGGTTTAGGGTTTGGGGTTTAGGGTTTGGGGTTTGGGGTTTAGGGTTTAGGGTTTAGGGTTTAGGGTTTAGGGTTTAGGGTTTAGGGTTTAGGGTTTAGGGTTTAGGGTCGAAGGCTTAGGGTCACCCCTTGTGAGTCACCCTGTTGAGGGGTCTAAGCCTAGAGCCCCTGAGCTGACGGATCAGCGCGGTTTGGTGGTCTGTACGGGCCTTGTGCAGGTCGAAGATATCCTCGCCCATGGCCTCCTCGATTTTCTGCTTCTGCTGATCCTTCCATGCGTCGGCCTGCGGGGGGGCGGAGTGAAGCGCCGGTCTACAGGGACTGTCTGGTGATGATCAGCGTCATGCAGACCAAGGCACAAGCTTCTGCTTCTTCTTGCACTCCTCCTCCTTGTTCTCTATAGCAGCCTGCGTGGTTCCCAAACCTTTCAAGGTGCCAAGGGACCATGCCAAGCCCACCTTGATGCCACTGATGCAGCCGCCGAAGCCCATGTACTTTGAGCAAATCCTCACGATGCAGCTCGGTCAGACTGTCAGCAGCCAGGCGCAAGAATCAAGCCACCGTACATCCGCATGTCGCTATGTGCTGCGGAGGTGCTCGCTGTACTGATTTTTCACTGCCTTCACGCAGCATGTGCCTGGCCACGACTGCAGATCTTGCGGTGCAAAAAACTTGTGAACTTCATCCTCCCTAAACCCTGAACCCTAAACCCTAAACCCATTTCACCCAAAGGCAGGCTGGAAGCGCATTGGTCGTGCAACTCATCGCAGTACTCCGAGGATTTCTGCAAAGTGTTCTGTCCTGCATCGCCTCAGTGCTGCGACCGTGGTTCGATGGTGCTTCTCTGCCGGGCCTGACTTGCCATGACCCTAAACCCTAAACCCTAAACCCTAAACCCTACACCCTCAACCATGGACAGTGGTTGCCAAGGATCCGCAGGTTTCACACACCTTGTGGAGTCTGGCTGTCCGGATTGCCACCAGTGAGGATGTAGGCGTTCTTAAACTTCTTCCTTACGGTTTCAACACCGAAGCTGTGCCCAGACGCTACATTCTGGACACTAAGTTCTGGGACCGCAAGCTGGGTCCACGGCCGTGTGCAGCAGCTTTGGTCACAGACACAAATACCTTAAGGGCACGGGTCTCAAAGCCCTTGGCCAGGAACGCCAAATGAGAGCTGAACGGGAAACCCTTGCCCTGTCAGGCACAAATCTGTCAGCCAGCGGCCAGCAGAAAGAAAGTCTGACTACCAACGCCAATCGCCTTCATTGCGGAAAGAACGGCTGAAAGGAGCCATTGGCTGCAGGAGAAGCAGCGGCAGCAACATCGCAGATCCATTCCGCATTCCGTTAAGGTTTGATGTTGAACCAGCCACTCAGCTCCCAAAAAGCTCGACGTTTGTTCGAAGACTTGTTCGAGGCACTCTGCTTGCATGTTTGCAAGGCATGCTTCCCGAATTTCAGGATCCATGCAAAAACCTCGGAAGATGCTAACACCTAGTGCATCCCTAAATGCTAAAATTGAAATGGAACTTGGCCGCAAGAGCCAGCCGAAGGGGCTCCCAGAGTGGTCATGAAATGGGAGCCCCAGGTTCATTTACAAGAGAGCTACGCAGAGCAGTGGTTTGCTCGGAGCCGTCTGCACCCTGCACTCGTTAGAGGGGCCTACACGCGCCAGAATGGCAGACGCCATCCGATAAAGTCCGGAAGCTTGATGGGCTTCAGCGTCTGGCCACGCATCCTCCAGAAATGCAGAGAGAAAACTGCCAGAGACATGCACTGCGCGGTTTACACATGTTTACACACACTCCGCCCACCCCTCCATGCACAAAAGCCAGAGTGTGCATTGTGTGCAGGCGAGGGTCATGTCGACCTCCATCGCTTGGAGCATCTTGTCGTCCACGGCCAACCATGGCGCCTGCTGCTTCTTTGGCTTGCCCTTCGCTTGGGCCTCCTGCCACTCCTTGGGTTTACGAGTGTGTCAATGAACCCCTATGAACCCCAAACGAAAGTCTTCAAAAAGCACCTGCGCAACACATCACAAAGGAGGCGATGCCAAGATGACTTTCCCGCGCCAAGGCTCGCTGAGACGACGGTGTGCCTCAGGGCTGCTCCTGCGAATCAATCATGGGGAGGATGCTGGGGAGGGGGGTCATGTCTTGAAGATTGCTCGCAGCGCAGTTCGGTGGCTCAGCATCTCTGTCGTTGCCCCCCGGGCATGCAGGTGCCTTGCTTCTTCCAGCTCGGAGCGCGCTCGAGTTCGAAACGCCTGAAAGCGGCTGTCGCCGTTGGTAGCTTCGGCTTGCAGCATCAGCGCCATCTGGGTGCAGGCAACGCCTGGCCACGCGAAGGACATCCACACGGCCCTGGTCTAAGAAGCTCACCTACGGGATTGGCGTTGGTCGCGTACAATCTTCCAAGCTGACAAACTTTAAAACCAGTACAAGGCTCGGTTGGGCATTGTGCGAGCAAGGCACCAATGTGGTAGTGGCACTGGGGCGATGCAGGGTGGCGAGCGAGGCAGGACTCGGACACTTCGATAACCCGCAAATACAGGTCCTGCAGACTGGGTTCATAAGGGGTCAGGCGCACGGATTGCAAAGCTTCATGTGCTTAAAGTTTCGGGCAAAGCTTCAAAGTGTACTGAATAATATTATAGACACGTCATGTGGCATGGTTGCAAATCTCAATTCTGTCCCCCCTGATGGTATCTTTCCCTGTGGTTCATGGCGGGTTTTGGGTGTTGGGTTTCCCTGTGGTTCATGGTTTATATAAGCTTTAGGGTTTAGGGTTAGGCTTAAGGGCTTAGGGTTTGACTCTAAGGTTTAGGCTTAGGGAATCCCCTCTCCCCCTATGGTTCGTGGTGGGTTGAGGGTTTAGAATTTAGGGTTAGGCTTTACTTTCTCCCCCTGCTTGAGTACGGTTTCCCCTCTCCTCGATGTGGTTCATGTTCACGATCAGGGGTTTAGGGGGGGGGGGGGGGGGGGGGGGAAGGGGTGGGTACCATGCGGGCGATACCATGAGTGAGGGTAGGGGGGGGTTGTCGAGACCGCGGAGCGCAGACCCTTATGATGCGGGTGCGGCCTGCCCCCCCCCCCCCCCCCCCTCCCCCCCCCTGTGGTGTGGTTGTGGGTTGGTTTTAGGGGTTAGGGTTTAGGGTTTAGGGTTTAGGGGTTTTAGGGTGTTTTAGGTTGTTTTAGGGTTTTTAGGGTTTAGGGTTAGGGTTCCCGCCCCCCCCCCCGTGGTGTGGTTGTGGGTTGGTTTTAGGGTTTAGGGTGTTAGGGTAGGGGTTAGGGTTTTAGGGTTCTAGGGTTTGTTTAGGTTTTAGGGGGGTCGGGGGGGTGGGTGGGGGTGGGTGGGGGGGGGGGGACCATACCATGGGTGGGGGGGGGGGTGGCGAACCGATAACCGGGATCATATATAGTCAAGTTAGCTGCTTGCGGATCCTGAGCGAGCAGGGTGAGGTCCCTTATAAAGTCAAGTTGTCAAGGTTGGGTTCAAACGTGCTGTAGGTTTTCGGTTTGTTCGCCAAGATTAAACCTAAAACACCAAACCAAAACTGAACCAACCCTAAACGACCATGCCTCGTTTCCAGGACCCCGAAAACCTGAAATCCCAGCTGAACCAAAGCCGTGGCTCCCTTTAAAAAACACCTATGGAAAAGTCTCGATCCGCCAAAGCGGTGCACCCGGTCTTGGGCTCTTTAATGTCACGGCCCTGGTCAGGGGCTCTCGGATTTCGATGCCTTGGCCTCTTGGCTCAAAGGCCAAAGCTCCCTAAACCCTAAACCCTAAACCCTAAACCCTAAACCCTAAACCCTAAACCCTAAACCCTAAACCCTAAACCCTAAACCCTAAACCTAAACCCTAAACCCTAAACCCTAAGACCAGGGGCTCGTAGTCTTCAGGAGCGGGCTTTGGTTTCTCACGGGCAGGCTCTTGAAATCTTAAGCCCCAGTGGGATTGGGATTTCAAAGGCCTGGCCTCTTGCCTTCAAAATCTGAAGGCGAGGTAGCCTTGGATTGGATTGGCCTTCAGGCTGTGCTTCTTCCTCTAAGCCCTTCTTAAACTCATATGAACTCATGCCCTTTGAAATCATGCAAGATGCGGGACCAATGCAGCTTCGACTGTTCAAGCGAGGAACACATTAAAGAGGGTGCACAATTTTTTCATCACCTTTACTCTGCTTTGAATCTAGCCATGGACCTTCAAGCATGCCCCCTGTGGGTCCTGCAGCCGTTGTGCGTTTTCTGAGCTCTGTGCGGCCTGACGCAGGTATGCCACGCCCAGGTTCCTGAGCCGAACTGCGGTCTTGGGTTGAGGGGGGCTTGTGTCGTGCTGGCACTTGGAGTTTTCGAAAGCACACGTAGCTGGGGTTAATATATTACAGGCTGCTAGGGGGACTCTGTTGGGGCGCTTCCGGGCGGGTGGCACGTAGGGAGCGCGGAAGTCAGGATCCAGCAGGAGGCTCTTGTTCATGAGCTCCACTGCGCCCTCCAAGAGGCCCATCTCCAACTCGGCCATGCCAAGGAGGAACAGCGCGTTGGAGTTGGAAGGGAAGGCGTCCAAGGCGTTCACAAAGTCTTTCTGCCTCAGATCTGAGTGGCTGAGGGTGCCGCGACTCGACATGCGGTCAGAGAACTAACTTAAGTCTCTGCTCGGTGACGTCGACTGCCCCTTCAGCCTGGCTTCAGCCTGGTGCGTCCACCTACTTACCAATGAGTTTACCCGTCGTGTTTGGACTGGAAGGAGCGACTTTGCATCTTGCAAGCACGCTGCGCATCTTGCCAACGATCAGCAGAGCTTCCTCGAGCTTTCAGAACGCCATGTGCGCGATGAACAAAAGACGCGACGCAAGACTTGGCCGGACTCGGTGTAAATCTTGCTATGGACGTCTCAACATCACCTGGGCATTATACGGATCGCATACCGCGCAACATATACGGTTGTCCAAAAATGGGGGTACCCTTTTTGGGGGTTGTTATAGAAAGGACTATACTACTTTGGGGGGGTATATAAGGGTCTTCTGTTTGGGGACCATATGGGCACCATGTCGAGCACCCTGCCAAGCCACGCAATTCACGCAAGCGTTGCTCAGGGGTGCTCATCGTCATGGCGCGCCGGGCAGTGAGATATGCTGCAAGTTCCTGATGGAAGATCCCAGACTCACCCTGTAACCCCATACAACCATAGAGGGCTCCCTTCCAAGTAGCCTTCATCATGGAGATCCCCTTGTCACAACAAGAACACCCCCTCCCCCCCAAACTTCCGGCCCAACCCCCCAAAGCAAAGAACAAACAAACAAACAAACAAACAAACAAACAAACAAAAAACCAGCTCATACCAGCCATTCTAGAATGTCCCCCATCGCCGCAGAGCTGGGGATGTTCAAGCGAGCCGAGGCTCCGGTTGGCTCTTGTACTGCTCCTGGAGCCGCTCGGGCGTGAACTCTGCCGCCCCGAAAAGCTGCTGCAGAGCTGGGCCAAGGGCGGCGTAGACCTCAAGGGAGCAGGACGCGCAGAGATCGGACCTTTATGGGCGTTTAGGGTTTAAGATGGGTGTTTCGAAAGGCTCTCCCTCTTAGCTAGTCTCACTTCCTTCGGATCTCAGGCCGAGATTCGGGGCTGAAAGGGTTTGTGGTTCGGGGGTCTCTAGGATCAACGCTCGCTGAGACGAAGAAGCTTGGGAGCAAGGCATGGCCTCTCCCCCTCTCCCCCTCTCCCCCGCGCGCCGATGCCTCCGTCAAGATGTAGCGCTTCACGACGGCCGTGCCGGTCTTTGCCTGGCTGATGAGGCGCTCGCGCACGTGATCCGAGGTCCTCAGGCTCAGACGGTCACGGTGGCATCAGGCTATGGATCAGGCGGGGTCATGCTGGATTTGTGGATGGGCCGGTGCTATCTGCAACCACGCTTCATGTCTGCGTGAGGCAGCTTCCAGTAGCCGCCGAGCCAATCAACTTGAATATCTTCGGGGGTAAGGGACCCCGAAGCCCCCGTCCTCGCAATCGAAGAAATCGAAAAACAGGAGTTGACAGGAGACGAAACAACCCCATCCCTTTCTCCCAACTGCCGTTCGGGGAATGCCTGCGATGAAGTGCGAAGCCAACCCGCATCGTGCCGTCAAACGGTCTCCCACCACTCATGGTTGGCATGGAGGAGCAGCATCGCTCCTTGGCTTGCTTTTGAACAGATGAGCCGAGCCTTCGTGTTGAAAAGTGTTGAAACAGAGCACGGGAGCTTCGAGCATACAGAAGGTGCTCAAAGGCGGGCCGCTGCAACGAAGCTGGGGCTTTCGTTCGCCCACCAGTGCCTGACGTGCTCCTCGTAGGAGTCCTTGTCCACCATGTTTAGATTCTCAAACAAGAACCACTACGCATCAAAAGCAACGGAGCAATAAGGAGAGTCTAGGAGTCCTTGTCCACCAGGTCGCCAGCCGCATGCGCCAAGTGCAGCAAACGTGGCCGGAACCAAGCCTCGAGGTCATCGGGAGGTTCCAGGATGTCCTCCAGGAGCCCAGGGTGGCACAAGAGGGGAGGGAGCGCTGTTGAGCATGATGCTTGCGCGTGATACAAAGCACGGGGCATACAGGGCCAAGCCTGCAGCACTTCCTCCAGCTCCCACACATGAGCGATTAAGACACCTCGACTGCGTGGAGGTTTAAAAAAACATCCCGCACACGAAACACACGATGCGTCGAGGCCTGCTGCCCGCGATCGGTTGCAGAGCTTGAGAACGACTAAGTCGTTGTCTCTCGCACCCAATTCCGCCGAGATGTGGCTGGCAATTCCTGCGTAGTACACGCGCGGGAAGCACACCTGCAGTAGCGAGGAAACATGCTGGCCATGGGACAAGAACTTAGGACTGCTGACCGGGGCGAGAGCAGACGTTCGAAACCGTGAATGTGTTGCAACACGCGGACCTGTGTCGGTATCACATGGGCGAAGCCAGTGACATCGAAGAGGTCGTGCCTTGCAAGCCGCTGAACATGAGAGCACGTGCACATGACAACGTTGCGCCACTTCGTGCAGACTGGGCTCGTGAGCTTCTTGTCTTTAGAAATGAAGTTGTATGTCCTGGGCAAGAACGGCCAGCTCTTTCAACTTTCTCTCAACATGAGCGCCAAGCTGCCGCAAGCTGATCATTCCGAGGATCTGCAACTCCACATCCTCCTCTTCCAAGTGGTACTGTGCTTCGAAGGTCTTCTGGATGGGTGCACCATCGCCTGAAAGAAGGGATGGACATTGTCAAGAGAACAGCATTCTTCTGACAACTCAGCGTCACGGTCTGTCCTGAGAACTTGGAGATGCGGCCATCACCTGAGTAGCTTTTCACACAGAATCGCTCATGAGTCGTCCTGGTGGTAGTCTGCCACGATTGGTGCTTTAGGGCTTTGGGGTTGATACCGACAGCTGGACGGCATGCCCTCAGGTTCCGGCCGGTCTCAAGCACCTGAATGCGATCGAGAACCGGCTTGAAGGCATCGTACTTCAGATCCACGATACCCCAGAACAGAGTCTTGACCTTCTCCTTTCGGTTCTCTTTGAGCGGGCTAAGGGGTGGAGCGTGGCGTAGGACGCGCGACACGGCCGTTGCCCTGGTTGCAAAGATCCAGCCGTTGTCGTCGTAGTGGACATGCGGATCGCCGGCGCCAGCGGAGAATGGACAGCGGGTCTGCGGCAGGATCAGGTCAAGCCCCAACCCCTGAAGAACCTTCTCCTGCAGCTCGAAGCGGCTGGAGAAGGCCACGGGCGTGTCCGGTGGCACCACCTCCAGGACATGGTCCGGTACGTATCCCTGCTGCGGATCCTCGACATCGGTTCTCATGAAGTTCGGCATTAAGAGGGCGATCAAGTCGGGTGGATCGGTCAGCAGGAGCTCGGGGACCTCTTCGTAGCAAGCAGTGCGGATTCCAGGGTGCAGCTGCGGATCTCCTTCAGGGGCAGAAGTGATGCTGTACAACACTGTGCAACCCGCACTATCTATAGATATGTATATGCACTTCTTCAGTACTTTAACTATATTTACACATGTGTATATATATATATATATAGAATATATACATATATGTATATATATATGACCTCTTCGAATGCCATTCCTAGGGCTGGAGCAGAAGGCTCCTGCTCGACTCTTCTCCGCCGTTGTTGCCTGGAGCTTCTTCTGCAGAAAAGCGCCCAGGCCCAGCTGGCCGCCGTGAATCAGCACCTCTGAAGACGCCCGAACATGCACAGCCTAGAATTAGGGTTTAGGGTTTGCGGTTAAGGCTGGAGGGAATCAATCTGGGAATCCATCATGCCTAGACTGCTTCATGTTTTTCTTCGTCCCGGTCGGGGGCCACATTTGTTTCAAATGGCCACGTGAGCCACTCGAGGGTGATTCTGAACTAGCATCCCTTTTGAAGGCACCCAGAAGTGGGGACCCCGCGTTCAGAACCCCAAAGAATTCACCAGGAGTGCCCGAAGAGTTGCTGGGCTCTGCACCCACGCGGGACCTCCAGTGTGCCGCTGGCGCACTCGTGTGCAGAGCTCCGCGCTGGCCTGGGCTTGGAGCTAAGATGTACACGCCTCTTCCGGCGTGCTTTGAGGAATCTCAGTGGTACGTCTGTCCTAATTTCCGGAGGCAGCTGGGCTTCGGAATGTTTGCAGGGGTGTTTCATGTCTTTAAGAGCATGTAGAAAGGGCAGCTAGGCCGCTGCATCCAGTCGTAACCAACCGCCTTCTTCCCGACCGCGCACTTCGGTGCCTTCGAAGAGATCGCCTTGGTTCAAGGACAAGAGCCCAACCGCCAGCTTTTTTCCGAGCCCCAACCAGACAGTCGCTGCTCTGACAAGTGGCCGACGTACTTCGCATCCACTGAAGGCTGCTCTCGCACAAAAACCCGCGGATGTACAACGACATAGCCAGCGACATCCTCTTTCGTCACGGATGCAACGCTAGGTCCACTGTTGTCCGCTTTTCTGGCCTGTCTCTCTGCATCTTCGGGCACAAAGTGCTCGAGAAGGTTCTCACCGATGATGTACAGCTTGGTACGTGCACGGTCTAGCCAGTTCACGTCGTTGAAGCATCCTTGTTCGGCAAGGGAAACCTCGACCTCATCCGTCGCTCCCATAACCCAGATGACGAAAGACTTCGCGTCCGATCCTCGCAACACATCTTGACATTTTTACTTTAGAATGAAGGTTGAGGGTTTAGGTTGGGGGGTTTAGAGGTTCGGGGGCTTACCTGAGGGGCTTGTAAAGGCATCATCTTCCCTTTCTCTCTCCTGAGCGCATCGGATGTCCGCGGATTCCCAAGGTCATCTGGGCAAAGGCCAACGTGCGAGACCAGGACATGGCTCGGCGTTCCTTTGGCGGGGCAGCGGCATGCTCCACTCGCAGGGCTTGGCTGAGAACCTGCTCAGGGTCAGTAACAAATATTGTTGCTGTAGCATACTAACCACCATAAGGACAAAGCTATGAAGCTGATGCTCAGTTCTAGGTCGATACTAGTACGAGTTTTCATATCGTGCTCGTACGATCATGATACTGAAGACGAGAACAACCCAGTTGCGTCGTTGCGAGCAGTTGCCTCCAGCGACTCCCAGTACTGCGCTTCAAGGACCTCCTCTTCCGGATCGCTGCTCACAACCACTGGAGTCATCGCCGGCCTGCGCTGATGGTGCTCCTTGCACTGAGCTGTGAGGCACACGGCAGCAAGGGCCATCGATTGGGATGTTCCCCCTTGCTAACAGTCCTTAATAGGGATTCTCGTAACTGTTAGTATAAGGGGGAACATCCCAACGCATCCGAAGCTGTGCAGAGGACAACACTTACAAGCGATCTCCTCGGAGAGGCGCTTGGCAAAAACTTCAGCGCCCCAGTGGCTGGAGCTGCTGGGCTTGAAGCTCAGAGTCATCTCGTTCCAGTCCTCAAAGAGAGCCCATAACAAAATCATTTTTTAATAATCAATAAATAAACAAGATAAGAAAATAAATAAGAAGAAGAAGAAAAGACACGAGAAGATTGGGGAGGTGGATTGCTTGGGACTTGGCACAGAGGGGGGCAGAAAACTTGAGTCGGGAAGCTGGTCCGTGCGTGACCCGGACTGAGCCAACCAGCTCGGACTCCTCTTTACATGTCCTCGGCCCCAGGACAAAGGGTTTAGGGCGGCTTAGGGCTTAAGGGTTTAGGGTTTAGGGTTTAGGGTCAGGCTGAGCAGGCTAAGCAAGCTAACTAGAACTGGTGCCTCCACTCTATGAGAAAGGTCTTCATGCATCCGAGCTTCAACAGCTCTGCTCTCAGCCAGCCCTCCTCCTCATAGAGCACTCCGACCAAAGTGCCACCAAGGATGTGCGGGCCTTCGTAAAGCCTGGAGAAGCCGCTAAAGCTATTGCAACAACATGCCCGCAGTGCTCCACACACTGCATGTTTTTGCCATACGCTGAAGATAGGAAGCAGTTGCCCGTCTTCGGTATGCTGTATCTCATACTGCTTCCCACTTCGTCCCTGCTCCCAAGTTCCTATCAGAGGAAGGGAAATCTCCTTAGATGCTCGGGCTCTGGTCTCAGGCAACTGCCACACAGCTGCTTCGAACGGCTCCGGCTACGTCTTTTGCCGAGCCACCACTGTCTCCAGCAGTTCCACTAACTGCTCCCGGCTGTCGTAGTGCTCCAGCTTTGTGACGCCATACCTATGCTGGAAAGCCACTATTGGCGATACCGAACGCACGCGGCATGCTGTGATATGCTCCGTGCCACTGAGCAACCCTTTGAGGGCAAGCTTCACCTCACAGCATGGCAAGGACATCTTGTCAGCCTCCCTTATGTGCACGAACATTTGGGCACTGCTCGCTGGTCAGCAGTTTGCTAGCAGAGCGGTTGCCACCCACCCACACACACACACACCCACACCCACGCGCGCGCGCGCGCGACGAATGCGAATGACCACAAGTGCCCGCAATTGCAGCGCTGCAGCGCCGGGCGAGCGGAAATGAAACCCAGAAACACTGACAGGCGCCTCGGCAGCTCCAAGTGAAGCAGCCGGACCCAGTGCCAGTGGCTCCTCGGGCACCGGGGCCTGGCGAGGCTCCGTTTACACACTTCACAGGGGCTCCTGAGGCTCTTTGTAAGAAAGGGCGGCTTCTTGCATGGCAATGCACCAGCTTCGGAATGCCCAAGTCCCACCTCGAAGGCAGGTCGTCGACGTGGCTGCTCCTCGCCTTCTCTCTCTGCTACCTTGGTCTCTACGGAGGTCGAGCGCAGGGGAAAAGCGATGGTTGGCTGAATTCTGCGCCTGAGCAGGGTCTTCGAAACACCCCACACTGGTTGCAAAGAGGGGGCGATGTTGCTTCCCCACTCACCCATCAAATGGCTCCCTTAGGAGCGGACAAAGAGCAGGTCTTGGTTTCTTGATGGAGAACTTGCTAGGTTCTCGTGCCGAAACAGCGGTCAAAATTGCTCTGAGGAGCGAAAGTTTGACACCACCACATCCTTCCTTGAAGCATGATGGCGCACGCGGATGGAGCCTCGCAAGCTACAGGAATAAACCAAGTCGACGTTCTCTGAGTGCGGACACCAAAAGGAGGGCAAAGGTCCTCCTATAGGTAACCTTTACAATAGAGCCCACGCACTGAAGGACCCCAAGCCCAAAAAGGGACCCTGGTTTTAGAACAACCCCCACGTGCCGCTCTGGAACCAATCGGCTCATTCTGACCCGTCAGCAGCTGGGCAAAGTACCAACCATCCTCATCCTCCTCGAGAATGCCAGACAGAAGGCCACCTTGAACCAGCGGACACAAGGGCAAAGGCTGATAGACCGCATTGGTAGATGGTGAGTGGGTGCAGTGGGTGCAGTGGGTGTAGAGTTTGGTGCCGGATCCCACCTCTGGAGTGGGGCCCTTCCCACCGCAGAGAACCATTCTGCAAGAGTTTGATCTCGTAGTTCTTGCGGTTGGGCTGCTTCCCGTACCTCGGTCGGGATGCTTTCTAGTTGCGGAGCTACGACTTCTAGGGAAACCTTCCCTAAGATTCTGCAAACTGTGCAGGAGGTGGTCTTAGGCATAGGAAAAGGGGCGATGCTTTAGGGAGTTGAGTTGGCCTGAATAGGGACTATCATAGGAAGTACCATGATCCCTATGAAGGGCAGTTAGTATAAGGGGGAACATCCCAAGACTGTTAGTATAAGGGGGAACCTCCCAAGTGCTGAGATGTCTTAAGCACCCAAGAGGTGCCCAGTCTCGAGGCAAAGGTGCTCCCATCTGCCCAGAAGCGGCAGGGCCACCTCGATCCTCCGCACCAGCTCCTGAGAAGGTGTTTAGGGTTTTGGGTTGAGGGTTTAGGGTTGAGGGTTGAGGGTTGAGGGTTTAGGGTTCAGGGTTTAGGGTTTAGTGAATGATTGCTCGTGACCTCTAGGTAGAACTAAGCGAAATCATACAGTGTCGCGATCACTGTTGCCTGACACCTCTTCTGCAGCCAAGCATCCAAAAGAAGTCCTCTTTGATTGCAGCATCGCCCGTGTTGGCTAACGCCATACTCCTGCGAATCTCCAGCCCAACATCATAAGAGAGACACGTGCGCGAACTCTCCTTCAAGCACTCTTTGAGTTCGTCCGCGGTCAAGTCTTCCAAGCCATCATCTGCTGATATCGTGGAGGCCGGGACCTGCATCATCTCGGCATCTTCTCACTTATGCAAAGATAAAAGATACGTTGGCGGTACTGCCTAGACTGAAGTACCGGCGTGCGCCTGATATCCCGAATCTGCGATCCAGCCAATCCGAGCTGATGGCTTGGGGTCACTTAGCAGCGGTCGGTAGATGCGGTGCTCTTGTGTGGCGCCTTAGCCACATCAGCGCGAGCTAAGGGGCTCAGCCACCCAAAAACATCAATTTCGCGATCTCACTAACCGCAAGGATCGCGCCGCAGGTGTGCGAGGCAGTAAACCCTCGTCAGAACACGGACCTTGCGTGCAGCTGGCACACGCGTCGCCCGAAGATCGATGCCCCAGTGCTTGCTTTCTCTTGTCTTGAAATTGAGGCTGAGCTCATTCCTTACAGGCAAACTCGGCAAGAACCGGAAAACACAAAAGGCCATGTGAAATCAAAGTCAGTCTTGGCTGTCCAAGGGTCCAATCAGGCCCGTGCCTGACCCGGACAGAACCGATCAAGACTTCGCCATGCGTGAAGAGCTCGCTTCGGATCCACATGCCCTCGAAATACATGGCCTTGGATGTGCTAAGACCTTCCCGCATGTTGACCCCCCCGCTCGCGGACTCCCCAACTGACGGTAAAATCGGCCTAAGTCGACTTGAAGGATCGTATAGACTTGAGTGCATCTGTAAAGCAGAACCCATGCCATGCCGGTTCGATGCACTGTGAGACAAGGTCCTTTTGCTTTCGTCGGGGCCTATGAATGTCCTGGTATACCGCATCAAACAGCCTCCATCTGCTTCTCTTCCTTTTCCTTTTCCTCACTACTGTTGCATTCTGCTCCTTCTTCTCACTGGTGCTATTTTGTTCTGCTTCCTCTTCTGTGCCACCGTGCGGACATGGGATCGCAGAAAGTGCTTCAGCGATATCAATTGTTCCACGCAAAGTCGTCCGACATAAGGTATGTGGCATCTAGGGTATAGGAACAAACAACCAGGAAAACCAAAACATTGGACGTTTGTACTTCCACATAGATCTGGAAACCCATTTCCAAGAACTTCATTGAACCTCAGCCCGTCTTATTCTTTGCCTTCGCTCGTCCCAGAAAATCACAGGCATAAGGCACAACAATCAATTGCATAATAACAACTAGTGGGTGTCATCTCACAAGTAGTGGGTCTAGCTCTGAGGCTACCCGTGGCACCCCACTACTTTGCGAGCGCGGCTCCACGCGTGCCGCGTAGTACAAGTACGCTCCTGTGATGCTACATGCTACTCTTTGGGCGCCAGAACAGCCAAGCTTCGCCAAGCAATGGCTCACCAGTGATGTGAAGGCCCTCCCATGACAGCTTTCCAGCTTTGCTCATGTGGATCTTGTACCGTCGTCGATTCTTAGCTTGTTCCTCGGTTTGAGTGCAGGGTATACAAGTCTATCGCTGATTTCGCGGTGAGGCACTGATGCTTCCTGGTTCCGAATTCTGAGGAATGCACCCACGTCCCTACCAACGGTAGGAGGACTTCCACGTCTCGCAGGCATTCTTTGGCACTGGAAAGCTTCGCACCGGATGCATAGTCAGTCACGCCGTACTCCTGCGAACGTGATGCCGTTCAGCGCAGCAAGTAAACAGCACAACCTAGAAATGAGACCCGCAAATGAGCGCACAAAGCTGTTATTATTGCATCTGATCTTGCATCATGCTGAGCAAGCCTCCAGGCAACGCTTGATTTCGACGTTTGATAAGGACTCCTCACATGGAAAGCACTTCTAGCACAGATTTCACTCACAAGCGGCGCACGATGCTCAAAGCAAACGGGCCCCAAGGCTCCAAGTTTGTGTCGACCTTGCTGTTTGCAAAGACATCAGCTGGATCGGCAGCCTGCCAGAAGCAACAAGGGCTCCTTGCTGCAACAAAACATAACCAGAATCTCCTTCAATCAGCTAGGGCCTGTTCTCTCACTGTAGACCCCAACTCTAATACCTCCCAAAAGGAGCCCTAAACCCTAAACCCTAAACCCTAAACCCTAAACCCTAAACCCAAGAGGAGCCTGCGCCTGCAGTGGGCTCTTGGCCTGGCTCATGCGCCATGGCGGGTCTTCCCAGTGCCCACGCTGCATGAGCTGGCCTCATTCCTGGCCTTAGCAGCGTGAGGGAGAGCTGCTCACATCTAGGATTTTGAGTTTAGGGTTTAGGGTTTAGGGTTTGGGATTTAGGGTTTGTGGTTTAGGGTTTAGGGTTTGGGGTTTAGGGGGAGAGTAAGGAGGATTAGGAGGGACCCTTATAAGGGACCTGAGGGGTTACTCAGGGGGTTATTCTAGGGGTCCCTTCTTAGACCCCTTTAGGAGCTCAGAGAGTCGCCAAGCATAATCACCAGCATAAGGGAATTGCAAGCACGCGGCATCTCCATGAAACGTCTGGCTGCCGACATCCCACAAGTGCCAGGCTGCAAACCCCCTTAAAATGCTTGGGTTGGCTTCGACTTACCTTAAAGACCGGTGGGAAGAGCAAGAGACTCCTTGAGTCTTTTGTGTGTTTTATTTATACCGACATGATTGAAACAAAGCATGAGTAGAAGGTGGAGCCAAAGCTTGGAAAGCACACAAGATTCGCTCCCGCAAAATCTGCTTTGAAGACATGTAGAGCATGAAGACTTATGAACTTGTCCGATAAGAGCGCCACCCACCATTTCGTTGCTCACGCTTTGCGTCGCTGCATCATGCAGGGACTCTGAGAGGCTTCCAGTGACAGAGGCAACGGCTTCTGAGACCCTCCGAAGCAGACCGCCCATCAGGGGCAGCTGATGGGCGTCGATTTCATGCAGCCTCCAAGTTGGGACCCATGCGTGTCCGAAGCAAGCAGGTTCGGCGCTGGGTAGGTGAGGCAGGGCATGAGAGATGTCTTCGCACTCCACGGCTCCATCCTTGGATGCTCCGAAAGTCCCAGGACCATCAAGTAGAAGAACCCACCAGTCGCATTCCTTGCCTTCCCCACACCTCAGTGCGCTGCGCATCAAATCTGGAAAACGATCACGCGAAGACACCTCAAAAACGCCTCAAAACGCAGCAACGTTCCACACTCCGGGGTTTAAGCAAAAGACTTGGAGAAATGCTTCGGCTGTCGAGCTCCTGACAGATGATTGCCACATGCGGGGTGCAGCATCACGTAAAAAAGCTTGCTATGCCTCAAGTCTCCTGACTTCTCAGCATGCCACCGAAGATTGCCGGGAGCTTCCGGTAGCAGCCCCACATCAAAAAGGCCACACTCCTCGAACACCTGCTACTGATGGGGGAGGGGTCGGTGGGGAGTGGGGGCGGGTACACCTGCGTCTCCACTCGCCTGACAACCCCCCAGGTGGGCTGTCGCCTAGTCACACCGTTCCCCTAAGACTAAGCTTTGAGGGCGGTTCCCCAAGAAAGCATTCTTCATCCGGGAAATGTTGGCCTCTCGTACAGCTGTAACTGAGCTGTCCCGATCTGTTGCATCGCGCATACCACCCACGGTAGCCAAATGGCCGGGCATCACCTTCGAGCCAAGGAGACCCGGAGCGATTCCCTTCTTTGAGCTAAGCTTGAACAAGGGCAATGAAGAAATGTCCACCTTTGCAACATGGCCCCACATGCGAGAGGAGTGCGATCCGTCGTCTACTCGTAGGCTGTGCATGGCTGCGTATTGTCCCTACATAGATCAACGCCCTATGAACCCTAAACCCCAAACCCTTCACCTAAACTCCCCTCTCCCTCGACCCATAAGCTCTGGACCGGCATGGAAAAGCTGCGCAACTGGAGCAGCACATGCAGGCTTCCCGGCTTCTGCTGCCGCAGGATTACGACCTTAGGCTTCTTTGGGCTTCTTTGGGCTTCCAGGGCTCAAAGAAGACTTGGCAGGGTATAGTGTAGGGTTTACAGAGGGTTCATCGGCTTCGGGACCTTGGATGGCTCTTCTGGGTCCCTCATATTGCACAGCGTTCATGTGGGGGCTAAGGGACCTGACCATGAACTGACCATGAACTGACCATGCCACCTTGTGCAAGAGAATGAGGCCGGTACTTGTGCATTTTTCTGCCTCGCACAACTCCGCTGCGTCCACTGTTGCGGCGCGTTGGAGGCTGCTGGCATGTCAATACGCCTGCCCTCAGTGGAGATGAGCTTTTTCACTCTTTCACCACGTGTCGACATGCTCAAGTCTTTCGAAAGTCTGGGCAGGCCTCCGGATGGAAGAACCAGCAGTCGGCTCGGAGACAGTGGTAGCCGTATCTACAGAAATGATGACTGGACCAGTCAGCAGCCGGCCGCATGGCACCCTGGCGCCCCCCCGCTTCAAATTCAAACTATGCCCTACTGCTGCCAATACCTCCACAGACCTCAGGACCTTCGCTTCTTGAGCATCCCAAGCGACAGTGCCATCATGGACCCCAGTGGTTGTGCTCTCTCTGGGCGGTGGCTGCCGCTTTGACCTAAGCCCTACCAACTCCAGCTTTCAAGAGACTTGCTGTCGCTCACCAAGAGCTGAGTGTCGTTTGGGCTGTTTTCGGTGACGTCAAACTTTGTGCTGGCGTGTCAGCTCTGTACAACTAGGTTCGACATTGGCATCTGGCCAATATCTGGGGAACGATGGACCATGATGGACCTTTCCGTGACCAAGCGCCTCCCACGAGCATCAGTACGGCTGTTGTCTCAGCCCCCTGTTCCTCACGTTCCGCGCTTTCTGGCTTGTTGCAGGGATTCAGAAATTTCAATGTTTTGAGAAAGCTATGCGCGGTCGCGCAGCATGCCCTCAGTCCAGCTCGCCAAAAATTGAGCCACCTTGCCGGCGAAAGCGCCCACCTTCTTGTTCTTGACGAAATATTCCTTGGGTCGCAGCCCGAGTTGTCCCTGGCAAACAGTTCCTTCAGCACACTCTTAAGTAAGTAGTAGATTCCAAGTGTCATTTGTGAGGTGGCTCAACCCGAGGCAGATGGCAAGGTAGATCCTGACCATGCCCGAAACCAAAGCCAACGCGTCGAATTGCGCTGCTCAGCGCTCTGCAAGTGTCTGCAGCCGGGTAGCGGGAAGAATCTGGTGGACATGGGGCCGCCCCACAACTTCCTGGCTAGGACCTGCGGCGAGTCAATGTCCCTAGCGTTCACCTTGAACCAACCTAATGCACTGCTTGCCTTCTTGTAGAAGATCTGGCCAATGGGCCCATGCCTAGGACAGGGCAAAGTCACGTACTCTGTGGGTGTCCCTGGAGGAGTGGAGGCTCAGGGATTAAATCAAGGTTGGCCGCAGGATGAACATCGGGAATGCAATGGAACCGAGCATGGCCATGGGCTTGGAGCCGAAGAAGCGCGTGATAGGGGCCTGGACGATAACTGCCCAACACACTAAGCCAACATGTCTCGGAGAAGTCAGCAGAGGCAGCGGCGGGGTTCGCAGAGATCGCATCCCTGTGAATCTGCGTCAAGAACTTCGTGAAGATGGGGACGAAGAGCACGCTGCGAATGATGGCATCCTCATGCCCCAATGTGCTCCAATATGCCCCACTGTGCCCCAATGTGCCTCACATGCCCCATAAGCCCAAGAAGCCCACTAAGCCCCCCACCCCCATGTCACTTCTCCCAACAGGGCTAGAGTAAGGGGCCGGCATTGAAGTCGAAGCTGGTCAGTCGAAGCCCCAGGGAGGCGTAGGCGGCCAAGAACATCCAAAGTGGGTTTCTTGGGCGAGAGCTGTCGAAAAGCGTTTCGTGAAGACAAAGCGCCCCGACATGTTGCACACAACCCATGCAATCACAACAACGAAAACGGATCTGAGTTGCGTTGTCGGCTTCTTCTTGTCCTCCTCCGTGTCCAGCATCACGTGACGTACAGCCGCCACGCCCATGGTCATCTCGATCAGCGCCCAGAAGGGGTGGAAGCGGGTCAAGTTCCAGATCCTGAAGCCGTGGGCTGTGGCACGCACGGCATGTGCGTGCCAGCTATGCCAGCTCTGCACCCCTCTCAACTAGCAACAGAAGCAGCTGTGCCCCACGCAGAGGGTGCATGACCTGGCCGTTGACCTCAGGTCTACTACGACCAGGAAGCCGACTCTAGGCGACTAGGCGCGGCATGGCCACACAGTGTGATACACCTTGCAAGCCCAGCGGCCGGGTGCTCCTTGCTGCTGTGGAAGCGCGAGGTCTCCGAATAGGAGACCTGTGTTCGTGCAAGCCCATGTTGCAGGCCGGGGCTCGAGCTTTACATGCGCCCTATAGTGCTCGACATGCCTTCTGCAGGAGCGAGATGCCCGTCAAGGCGGCAAACAGCTTCTGAAGGCCTCCACACAGGTGGCCCCACTAGCCCAGCCAACGACACCCCACAAGAAAACCACAAAGCAAACGACTTCACAAAGACACCGTAAAATACGATCAACCCAACGGCTTCGGACAAAAGCTTCTTTCTGTCCGAGGGGCCGTTCTTGGACAGCTGCGCCACCTGCGGAAGCACCAGCGTCGGCATGGTGAGGTTCGAGAACGTCAGGGCCGAAAGGAACCTGGGTACTCAGCTGTAAGGAGCCTGGCTCACCAAGTGCCCTTACATTTCAGCTGGTCAACCAAGGTCCTCTTGCAGGCTCGCAGCCAAGTTGGCTGATTCCAAATCTCCGCCTCTGCGGGAAACCAGGCCTCCGCAGCCGAGCTGCAGCAGAAGAACACTCTGTGTGTTCCCCCTTATACTAACAGCTCCTTTGTAGGGATTATAGCACTCCCTACTATGATTCCTATTGAGGACCCCTACAGTTTAGACCCTGAACCGGCCTGCAACAGGCTAAAGTTCAGGAATGCACGCATAGCCGTCGTCGTCCAAGGTGTGTTGAACCACCTCTTGTGTTTAGGGCTGCGGGCTAAGGAGGGTTTTGGCTTTGGGGTGCGAGCATCTATCATGGAAACTGAACGGACCCCCCGGGTTTAAAATCGAGGTTGCACAGATCTTGGTGAACCAATCAATGAAGCTACACTTGGGTCTCGGGTTCAAGTTTCTGAATCAGCGTTTGATCCGCACATCTTGCCTCTCAACCTGGATGAACATCGGGGCGAAGATCGCGGAAACCACGAAGTGGAGGGGATAGTAGGCCATCACCTGTCTTGCTGAGAACCTCACACCACTCCACACCAGACAACCTTTTCCGGAGGCGGACCCTCTGCCAGAAGAAGAGCTCCGGGTTGGCCAGCTTCTTGTCCTCGGCCTTTCTCTCGCCCAGCTTCGTGGAAGTGTACGCAGACACCTGGGCAAAAAACTCCAACAAAGACTCTCAGCGACCATGGACACAAGATGGCACAAGCAACATGGCCAAGTGAAGCGAGTCCTGAGACCGCAACGTACCCTGAGATGACGAAGAAGCCTCCAACCAGCACATTCTCCTGCGTGAGCAGCTTCAGCATCGTCAGATTCTTCGTTCCAAACCTGCGCGTCTGCGGCAAAAACCAAGTGCCGTGCTACGGGTATCCTCAGCTTTGAGGCTACTGAGGCCCTGCCTCGCGAAGTGAGCAACGACGATGGGGAAAACCAGAGCAAACCGGCAGCCATCGATACAATCGATGCGAGGCTTCGAGGCCTGAGGATAGATTTGTCACTTACTCTACGTCTACAAAATGGCACACATTGCTCCTCTTACTCTTTTCCATCAAACAGGTGAAAGGAGCTCTGCGTGTTCACCGACGTGCTTGCCCAGTTGCTTTCACAACAGGCTTCGCGTCCTTCTTGACGTCCGGAGGCAGCGGCATGGCCTTTGCATCAGCCTTTGCCGACAGTGCTGCTGGCAGTGTCACAATACGCAGAGAAAATGGGCCGTTTCCAGAGTATGCCCTGGCTATGCCCTGGCTATGCCCTGGCTATGCCCTAGTTCTGCAGTGGCTATTCTCATCTTCCTCTTCTAAAAGAACATCCCAGCAGGGTCCTTCCGGTCAAGACGTGCCACGTGTCCCAAGGACTCTGTGGATTCAAGGCTTTGGTGCCATACCCCGGATGCAACTCTACGCAACTCTACGACACTAGGACCATCTGCCGGCAAGGTGCGTCGATCTTTTGCGCCACTGCGCTCATGTCTGCGATCCTTGGCTTCATCTGTGTATGCACTCGACCGATGCGTGGCTGCTTTGAGGACTTTCTGGGATTGGTGCTCTTGAACCAGCTCGTTCCTTGCACAGTCGAGACGAGGCAAGCCGTCCACAAACGCGGCCGTTTTTTGCCACACTGGGACCAGAGTAGCGCATTCAAGGGCATGCCGAGAAACGGCCGAGGCTCGGCGAAGTCACCAGCGAGCTTGGATGTGGGCTTGAGCCACAAGCAAAGTTAGAGGATGGGCACCAGACCGACTCAGCAGCCTCCCTCTCATCGAGCAGACTGCACCCAGACATCAGGGAAGGTTTAGGGTTTAGGGTTTCGGGTTTAGGGTTTAGGGTTTAGGGTTTAGGGCTTAGGGTTTAGGGTTTAGGGTTTAGGGTTAGGGTTTAGGGCACTTTTGTTCAAGAACTCCATGGCGCAACTGCCAGTTGTACAGTAGGGGCGACTCTTGTGTGGCCTTCACACATGGAGTCCTTACCACTGCTTTGCAAGAAGCTCCGTCGGCGCTGCACCTAGCTTTGTGCAGCACCAACCAGTCTCCACAAACAACTTGAAGTGGGCAGGGCGCATCGATACCCGAGCTTTCTACAGACATCACAACAGCATCCTCTGCTGAGCGGTGCTCGGTACCGTGTCGTCCTGCCCTGTGCTGAAAGTGCGCTGCCTGAGCATCAGCGAGGCCTTGTGCCTGGCTAGCTGTTCCTCATCGGCAGCGCTGAAAAGCTTCATAAATTAGGAGCGGTCGCGCAACATGCCCTCAGTCCAGTTGCCCAGGAATTGGGCCACCTTGCCCGAAATGGCTGACACCTTCTTGTTCTTGACGAAATACTCCTGCTGCAGTTTGTGGACCTCGCCTCAACCTGGCCTGACCACTGCACTCTAGCGCTTAAGCTAGCCGCAGAATCAGGCCAAGATGAGCCAAGCATCGTTGGTGAGGTGGCTCAAACCCAAGCAGATCAGAAGGTAGAACCTTGGCAGCTGTAGTCCCAGTCATGGATGTCGATGCGTCTGGCATCTGCAAGCGCATGCGTGCACGAGGGTCTGCGGCTAGATGCCACTAAGATCAGGGCGGGAAGAAGGCCGTCGGCATCGGCGCACCCCAGATCTTCTTAGCCAAGATCTTCTTGTAGAAGATCTGTCCAATTGGGCCGTGCCTGCCAAAAAACAGCAGCACAACGAACGCGTGGGACATCGGATGTCGTAAGATGCACTTGGCCGAGGGGCAGGATGAACATCGGGAATGCGATGGAGCCCAGCGTGGCCATCGGCTTGGAGCCGAAGAAGCGCGTGATAGGGGCCTGAGAGCTGCCGAAGACACGAAGCCACTCAGCGGAGACAGATGTTTTGGGAGAAGCTCGGCACAGCGGCGGGGTTTGCGGAGATCGCATCCCTGTGAATCTGCGTCAAGAACTTCGTGAAGATGGGGACGAACAGCACGCTGCGAATGATGGCATCCTCAGGCCCCCCTCTGCCCCAAGATGCCCCACATGCCCCATATCAAGGGCCCCCACCCCCCTGGTCACTTCTCGCAACAGGGGCTAGAGTAAGGGGCCGGCATTGAAGTCGAACTTGGTGAGACGCAGACCCAAGGAGGCGTAGGCCGCCAAGAACATCCAAAGCGGGTTCCTTGGGTGAGACAGACCCTGAGACACTTTCAAGCGACTCAATGGGCAGCATGGAGATGAATCTCTGAGCTCAAGGAGCGTGGTCGGCTTCTTCTTGTCCTCCTCCGTGTCCAGCATCACGTGACGTACAGCCGCCACGCCCATGGTCATCTCGATCAGCGCCCAGAAGGGGTGGAAGCGGGTCAAGTTCCAGATCCTGAAGCTGTGGGCTGTGGCACGCACGGCATGTGCGTGCCAGCTATGCCAGCTCTGCACCCCTCTCAACAACCAACAGAAGCAGCTGTGCCCCTCGCAGAGGGTGCATGACCTGGCCGTTGACCTCAGGTCTACTACGACCAGGAAGCCGACTCTAGGCGACTAGGCGCAGCGTGGCCAGACAGCGTGATACACCTTGCAAAGCCCAGCGGCCGGGTGCTCCTTGCTGCTATGGAAGCGCGAGGTCTCCGAATAGGAGACCTGTGTTCGTGCAAGCCCCACGATGTTGCAGGCCGGGGTTCGAGCTCTACATGCGCCCTATAGTGCTCTACATGCCTTCTGCAGGAGCGAGATGCCCGTCAAGGCGACGAACAGCTTCTGAAGGCCTCCACACAGGTGGCCCCGTGCTCCACTAGCCCAGCCAACGACATCCCACAAAAACAACCGCTAAACACCGTCAAGATCTGTCAAGCCAACAGCAACAGCTTCGGACAACAGCTTCCTTCTGTCCGAGGGGCCGTTCTTGGACAGCTGCGCCACCTGTGGAAGCACCAGCGTCGGCATGGTGAGGTTCGAGAACGTCAGGGCCGAAAGGAACCTTGCTGCGCAAGTGGAGCACGGGCACGCAAACGGCATGGGCGAGCACGAGCGGGCATGGGCGGGAAGCGGGAAGTTGCGCCGTGCCGCACGCGCGCACGTGCACGTGATCGTGAGCGGCAGCGCTCGGCTCAGGCTTCCGGGGCCGGGACCAGGTTGGCTGATTCCAGATCTCTGCCTCCTTGGGGAACCAGGCCTGACCCCATGCACGTGGGCAAGCTTGGCGCATCCTGTCACGTCCCCGCACATCCCGGCACATCCTCCGGGCGCCTGCAGCATGCTGAAGTTCAGGAAAGCACGGAATGCGCTGGTGGTCCACGGGGTGTTGTACCACCTTCGGCAACACACAAGCTGTCGCATCTTGTGTCACGTGTGTCACATCCCGTGTCGTATCCTTCCATCACCTCACCGCACATGCAAGCGCATCGCTGCCGCCACCTCTCAACCTGGATGAACATCGGGGCGAAGATCGCGGAAACCACGAAGTGGAGAGGATAGTAGGCCATCACCTGTCTTGCTGAGAACCTCACACCACTCCACACCAGACAACCTTTTTTCCGGAGGCCGACCCTCTGCCAGAAGAAGAGCTCCGGGTTGGCCAGCTTCTTGTCCTCGGCCTTTCTCTCGCCCAGCTTCGTGGAAGTGTACGCAGACACCTGGGCAAAAAACTCCAACAAAGACTCTCGGCAACCGTCGACACAAGATGGCACAGAAGCGAGTCCTGAGACCGCAACGTATCCTGAGATGACGAAGAAGCCTCCTACGAGCACATTCTCCTGCGTGAGCAGCTTCAGCGCCGTCAGGTTGTTGGTGCCAAACCTGTGGCTGGATCGCTACGGAAGCAGACATACGTTCGTGGAGCACACCTGCTGGTCTCCAACGTGTCTACAGAATCTACAGTGAATCTACAGTGCCCCGAGCGAGAACCGCGACGTACCGTGACTACCCTGTGATGCCCGGCCTCGCAAAATGCGCAATCACGATGGGGAAGACCAGCGCAAAGCGGCAACCGTCGATGCAGTCGATCCGCGGCTTGGAGACCTCAAAACACCGCGCGAAAACACCCCAAGCCACGGAGGCCCAACTCTGCAAGCCATGCAATGGCCATTCGGCGATGCCATGGCATGCACGCATTGCACGCATTGCACGCATTGCACGCATTGCACGCCACCTTCACGGGTTTGACTTCCTGCTTGGCGTCCGGAGGCATCGCCATGGCCTTCGCGTCAGCCTGCAGATGCGATGGCTGCATGTGCTTGCAGCACAATCATCACAATGCGGCCGCAATTCTCCTCCCAGTGCCACCAAGGCACGTCGATTTTCTGTGCCACTTGGCTCATGCCGACGACGACCTTTGCCAAGTCACATCTAATCCTGGAGCCTCTGTCCCTACAGTCGCGTACCTCGCTGACATTGTTGCAAGCCAAGACCGCGACTGAGCCAGACAGTCCGCAACTTTGCGGCCAACTGGAACTATGTGCAGCTGCAGCTTTGAATGAGGGCTTTAAGCCGAAACCAAGCAATCCAAGCACCACGTGAATGATCACGAATGCCCTGCGTCTAGAGTCCATCTATCAACCTCACTTCCCCAAACCATGCGTCATTCTGTTTCCGCACGAACGATCGAAGCTCGCACCGTGGCATTGACACCAAGTGTCCTGCAACAACGGCCATGCTGCGACTGTGCAGTCGGCCTGGGGAACTTTAGTGCGTGGTATGGTGTGGTCGATCATCAAGGCATGTCAATGCCACGGGCTGGCATCGGTTTCCTGTGTGGCGTTGACACACAGAAGCCTGGGGACGGCGGTGCTGCACCTTGTGCAGCACCAACCAGTCTCCACAAACAACTTGAAGTGGGCAGGGCGCATCGATACCCGAGCTTTCTACAGACATCACAACAGCATCCTCTGCTGAGCGGTGCTCGGTACCGTGTCGTCCTGCCCTGTGCTGAAAGTGCGCTGCCTGAGCATCAGCGAGGCCTTGTGCCTGGCTAGCTGTTCCTCATCGGCAGCGCTGAAAAGCTTCATAAATTAGGAGCGGTCGCGCAACATGCCCTCAGTCCAGTTGCCCAGGAATTGGGCCACCTTGCCCGAGATGGCTGACACCTTCTTGTTCTTGACGAAATACTCCTGCTGCAGTTTGTGGACCTCGCCTCAACCTGGCCTGACCACTGCACTCTAGAGCTTAAGCTAGCCGCAGAATCAGGCCAAGATGAGCCAAGCATCGTTGGTGAGGTGGCTCAAACCCAAGCAGATCAGAAGGTAGAACCTTGGCAGCTGTAGTCCCAGTCATGGATGTCGATGCATCTGGCGCTGCAAGCGCATGCGTGCACGAGGGTCTGCGGCTAGATGCCACTAAGATCAGGGCGGGAAGAAGGCCGTCGGCATCGGCGCACCCCAGATCTTCTTAGCCAAGATCTTCTTGTAGAAGATCTGTCCAATTGGGCCGTGCCTGCAAAAAAGCAGCAGCACAACGAACGCGTGGGACATGGGATGTCGTAAGATGCACTTGGCCGAGGGGCAGGATGAACATCGGGAATGCGATGGAGCCCAGCGTGGCCATCGGCTTGGAGCCGAAGAAGCGCGTGATGGGGGCCTGAGAGCTGCCGAAGACACGAAGCCACTCAGCGCAGACAGATGTTTTGGGAGAAGTTCAGCACAGCGGCGGGGTTTGCGGAGATCGCATCCCTGTGAATCTGCGTCAAGAACTTCGTGAAGATGGGGACGAACAGCACGCTGCGAATGATGGCATCCTCATGCCCCAACATGCCCCATATCAAGGCCCCCCACCCCCCTGGTCACTTCTCGCAACAGGGGCTAGAGTAAGGGGCCGGCATTGAAGTCGAACTTGGTGAGACGCAGACCCAAGGAGGCGTAGGCCGCCAAGAACATCCAAAGCGGGTTCCTTGGGTGAGACAGAAATACTTTCAAGCGACTCAAGGGCACGGGGTTTAGATGCGTCCAGGTCGAGCATGGAGATGAATCTGAGCTCAAGGAGCGTGGTCGGCTTCTTCTTGTCCTCCTCCGTGTCCAGCATCACGTGACGCACAGCCGCCACGCCCATGGTCATCTCGATCAGCGCCCAGAAGGGGTGGAAGCGGGTCAGGTTCCAGATCCTGAAGCTGTGGGCTGTGGCACGCACGGCATGTGCGTGCCAGCTATGCCAGCTCTGCACCCCTCTCAACAACCAACAGAAGCAGCTGTGCCCCGCGCAGAGGGTGCATGACCTGGCCGTTGACCTCAGGTCTACTACGACCAGGAAGCCGACTCTAAGCGACTAGGCGCAGCGTGGCCAGACAGCGTGATACACCTTGCAAGCCCAGCGGCCGGGTGCTCCTTGCTGCTATGGAAGCGCGAGGTCTCCGAATAGGAGACCTGTGTTCGTGCAAGCCCCACGATGTTGCAGGCCCGGGCTCGAGCTCTACATGCGCCCTATAATGCTCTACATGCCTTCTGTAGGAGCGAGATGCCCGTCAAGGCGACGAACAGCTTCTGAAGGCCTCCACACAGGTGGCCCCGTGCTCCACTAGCCCAGCCAACGACATCCCACAAAAACAACCGCTAAACACCGTCAAGATCTGTCAAGCCAACAGCTTCGGGCAACAGCTTCCTTCTGTCCGAGGGGCCGTTCTTGGACAGCTGCGCCACCTGTGGAAGCACCAGCGTCGGCATGGTGAGGTTCGAGAACGTCAGGGCCGAAAGGAACCTTGCTGCGTGGGCGGAGCACGGGCACGCAAACGGCATGGCCGAGCACGAGCGGGCATGGGCGGGAAGCGGGAAGTTGCGCCGTGCCGCACGCGCGCAGGTGCGCGCAAGGGTGAGCGGCAGCGCTCAGGCTTCCGGGGCCGGGACCAGGTTGGCTGATTCCAGATCTCTGCCTCCTTGGGGAACCAGGCCTGGCCCCATGCACGTGGGCAAGCTTGGCGCATCCTGTCACGTCCCGGCACATCCCGGCACATCCTCCGGGCGCCTGCAGCATGCTGAAGTTCAGGAAAGCACGGAATGCGCTGGTGGTCCACGGGGTGTTGTACCACCTTCGGCAACACACAAGCTGTCGCATCTTGTGTCACGTGTGTCACATCCCGTGTCGTATCCTTCCATCACCTCACCGCACATGCAAGCGCATCGCTGCGCCACCTCTCAACCTGGATGAACATCGGGGCGAAGATCGCGGAAACCACAAAGTGGAGAGGATAGTAGGCCATCACCTGGCTTGCTGAGAACCCCACACCGCCCACTCCACACCAGACAACCTTTTTCAGAGGCCGACCCTCTGCCAGAAGAAGAGCTCCGGGTTGGCCAGCTTCTTGTCCTCGGCCTTTCTCTCGCCCAGCTTCGTGGAAGTGTACGCAGACACCTGGGCAAAAAATCCAACAAAGACTCTCGGCAACCGTCGACACAAGATGGCCCAGAAGCGAGTCCTGAGACCGCAACGTATCCTGAGATGACGAAGAAGCCTCCTACGAGCACATTCTCCTGCGTGAGCAGCTTCAGCGCCGTCAGGTTGTTGGTGCCAAACCTGTGGCTGGATCGCTACGGAAGCAGAAATACGTTCGTGGAGCACACCTGCTGGTCTCCAATGTCTCTACAGAATCTACAGTGAATCTACAGTGCTCAGAGCGAGAACCGCGACGTACCGTGACAACCCTGTGATGCCCGGCCTCGCAAAATGCGCAATCACGATGGGGAAGACCAGCGCAAAGCGGCAACCGTCGATGCAGTCGATCCGCGGCTTGGAGACCTCAAAACACCACGAAAACACCCCAAGCCACGGAGGCCCAACTCTGCAAGCCATGCAATGGCCATGCCATGGTTTGCACGCACTGCATTGCACTGCATTGCACGCATTGCACGCATTGCACGCATTGCACGCCACCTTCACGGGTTTGACTTCCTGCTTGGCGTCCGGAGGCATCGCCATGGCCTTCGCGTCAGCCTGCAGATGCGATGGCTGCATGTGCTTGCAGCACAATCATCACAATGCGGCCGCAATACCGCTCCCATCTCCTGCATTCTCCTCCGTTCTCCTCCCAGTGCCACCAAGGCACGTCGATTTTCTGTGCCACTTGGCTCATGCCGACGACGACCTTTGCCAAGTCACATCTAATCCTGGAGCCTCTGTCCCTACAGTCGCGTACCTCGCTGACATTGTTGCAAGCCAAGACCGCGACTGAGCCAGACAGTCCGCAACTTTGCGGCCAACTGGAACTATGTGCAGCTGCAGCTTTGAATGAGGGCTTTAAGCCGAAACCAAGCAATCCAAGCACCACGTGAATGATCACGAATGCCCTGTGTCTAGAGGCCATCTATCAACCTCACTTCCCCAAACCATGCGTCATTCTGTTTCCGCACGAACGATCGAAGCTCGCACCGTGGCATTGACACCAAGTGTCCTGCAACAACGGCCATGCTGCTACTGCGCAGTCGGCCTGGGGAACTTTAGTGCGTGGTATGGTGTGGTCGATCATCAAGGCATGTCAATGCCACGGGCTGGCATCGGTTTCCTGTGTGGCGTTGACACACAGAAGCCTGGGGACGGCGGTGCTGCACCTTGTGCAGCACCAACCAGTCTCCACAAACAACTTGAAGTGGGCAGGGCGCATCGATACCCGAGCTTTCTACAGACAACACAACATCATCCTCTGATGAGCGGTGCTCGGTACCGTGTCGTCCTGCCCTGTGCTGAAAGTGCGCTGCCTGAGCATCAGCGAGGCCTTGTGCCTGGCTAGCTGTTCCTCATCGGCAGCGCTGAAAAGCTTCACACATTAGGAGCGGTCGCGCAGCATGCCCTCAGTCCATGTGCCCAGGAATTGGGCCACCTTGCCCGAGATGGCTGACACCTTCTTGTTCTTCACGAAATACTCCTGCTGCAGTTTGTGGACCTCGCCTCAACCTGGCCTGACCACTGCACTCTAGAGCTTAAGCTAGCTGCAGAATCAGGCCAAGATGAGCCAAGCATCGTTGGTGAGGTGGCTCAAACCCAAGCAGATCAGAAGGTAGAACCTTGGCAGCTGTAGTCCCAGTCATGGATGTCGATGCATCTGGCGCTGCAAGCGCATGCGTGCACGAGGGTCTACGGCTAGATGCCACTAAGATCACAGCGGGAAGAAGGCCGTCGGCATCGGCGCACCCCAGATCTTCTTAGCCAAGATCTTCTTGTAGAAGATCTGTCCAATTGGGCCGTGCCTGCAGCCAAAAAACAGCAGCACCACGAACGCGTGGGACATCGGATGTCCTAAGATGCACTTGGCCGAGGGGCAGGATGAACATCGGGAATGCGATGGAGCCCAGCGTGGCCATCGGCTTGGAGCCGAAGAAGCGCGTGATGGGGGCCTGAGAGCTGCCGAAGACACGAAGCCACTCAGCGCAGACAGATGTTTTGGGAGAAGTTCAGCACAGCGGCGGGGTTTGCGGAGATCGCATCCCTGTGAATCTGCGTCAAGAACTTCGTGAAGATGGGGACGAACAGCACGCTGCGAATGATGGCATCCTCATGCCCCAACATGCCCCATATCAAGGCCCCCCACCCCCCTGGTCACTTCTCGCAACAGGGGCTAGAGTAAGGGGCCGGCATTGAAGTCGAACTTGGTGAGACGCAGACCCAAGGAGGCGTAGGCCGCCAAGAACATCCAAAGCGGGTTCCTTGGGTGAGACAGACCCTGAGACACTTTCAAGCGAAACAAGGGCACGGGGTTTAGATGCGTCCAGGTCCAGCATGGAGATGAATCTGAGCTCAAGGAGCGTGGTCGGCTTCTTCTTGTCCTCCTCCGTGTCCAGCATCACGTGACGTACAGCCGCCACGCCCATGGTCATCTCGATCAGCGCCCAGAAGGGGTGGAAGCGGGTCAAGTTCCAGATCCTCAAGCCGTGGGCTGTGGCACGCACGGCATGTGCGTGCCAGCTATGCCAGCTCTGCACCCCTCTCAACTAGCAACAGAAGCAGCTGTGCCCCAAGCAGAGGGTGCATGACCTGGCCGTTGACCTCAGGTCTACTACGACCAGGAAGCCGACTCTAAGTGACTAGGCGCAGCGTGGCCAGACAGCGTGATACACCTTGCAAGCCCAGCGGCCGGGTGCTCCTTGCTGCTATGGAAGCGCGAGGTCTCCGAATAGGAGACCTGTGTTCGTGCAAGCCCCACGATGTTGCAGGCCCGGGCTCGAGCTCTACATGCGCCCTATACTGCTCCCTATGCCTTCTGCAGGAGCGAGATGCCCGTCAAGGCGACGAACAGCTTCTGAAGGCCTCCACACAGGTGGCCCCGTGCTCCACTAGCCCAGCCAACGACATCCCACAAAACCAGCCGCTAAACACCGTCAAGATCTGTCAAGCCAACAGCAACAGCTTCGGGCAACAGCTTCCTTCTGTCCGAGGGGCCGTTCTTGGACAGCTGCGCCACCTGTGGAAGCACCAGCGTCGGCATGGTGAGGTTCGAGAACGTCAGGGCCGAAAGGAACCTTGCTGCGTGGGCGGAGCACGGGCACGCAAACGGCATGGCCGAGCACGAGCGGGCATGGGCGGGAAGCGGGAAGTTGCGCCGTGCCGCACGCGCGCAGGTGCGCGCAAGGGTGAGCGGCAGCGCTCAGGCTTCCGGGGCCGGGACCAGGTTGGCTGATTCCAGATCTCTGCCTCCTTGGGGAACCAGGCCTGGCCCCATGCACGTGGGCAAGCTTGGCGCATCCTGTCACGTCCCGGCACATCCCGGCGCATCCTCCGGGCGCCTGCAGCATGCTGAAGTTCAGGAAAGCACGGAATGCGCTGGTGGTCCACGGAGTGTTGTACCACCTTCGAAAAAACACACAAGCTGCTGTCGTATCCTTCCTTCACCTCACCGCACATGCAAGCGCATCGCTGCCGCCACCTCTCAACCTGGATGAACATCGGGGCGAAGATCGCGGAAACCACGAAGTGGAGAGGATAGTAGGCCATCACCTATCTTGCTGAGAACCTCACACCACTCCACACCAAACAACCTTTTTCAGAGGCCGACCCTCTGCCAGAAGAAGAGCTCCGGGTTGGCCAGCTTCTTGTCCTCGGCCTTTCTCTCGCCAAGCTTCGTAGAAGTGTACGCAGACACCTGGGCAAAAAAACCCAACAAAGACTCTCGGCAACCGTCGACACAAGATGGCACAGAAGCGAGTCCTGAGACCGAAACGTATCCTGAGATGACGAAGAAGCCTCCTACGAGCACATTCTCCTGCGTGAGCAGCTTCAGCGCCGTCAGGTTGTTGGTGCCAAACCTGTGGCTGGATCGCTACGGAAGCAGAAATACGTACGTGGAGCACACCTGCTGGTCTCCAATGTCTCTACAGAATCTACAGTGAATCTACAGTGCCCCGAGCGAGAACCGCGACGTACCGTGACAACCCTGTGATGCCCGGCCTCGCAAAATGCGCAATCACGATGGGGAAGACCAGCGCAAAGCGGCAACCGTCGATGCAGTCGATCCGCGGCTTGGAGACCTCAAAACACCGCGAAAACACCCCAAGCCAGGGAGGCCCAACTCTGCAAGCCATGCAATGGCCATTCGGCGATGCCATGGTTTGCACGCATTGCACGCAATGCACGCATTGCACGCCACCTTCACGGGTTTGACTTCCTGCTTGGCGTCCGGAGGCATCGCCATGGCCTTTGCGTCAGCCTGCAGATGCGATGGCTGCATGTGCTTGCAGCACAATCATCACAATGCGGCCGCAATTCTCCTCCCAGTGCCACCAAGGCACGTCGATTTTCTGTGCCACTTGGCTCATGCCGACGACGACCTTTGCCAAGTCACATCTAATCCTGGAGCCTCTGTCCCTACAGTCGCGTACCTCGCTGACATTGTTGCAAGCCAAGACCGCGACTGAGCCAGACAGTCCGCAACTTTGCGGCCAACTGGAACTATGTGCAGCTGCAGCTTTGAATGAGGGCTTTAAGCCGAAACCAAGCCATCCAAGCACCAAGTGAATGATCACGAATGCCCTGCGTCTAGAGTCCATCTATCAACCTCACTTCCCCAAACCATGCGTCATTCTGTTTCCGCACGAACGATCGAAGCTCGCACCGTGGCATTGACACCAAGTGTCCTGCAACAACAGCCATGCTGCGACTGTGCAGTCGGCCTTGGTATGGTGTGGTCGATCATCAAGGCATTTCAATGCCACGGGCTGGCATCGGTTTCCTGTGTGGCGTTGACACACAGAAGCCTGGGGACGGCGGTGCTGCACCTTGTGCAGCACCAACCAGTCTCCACAAACAACTTGAAGTGGGCAGGGCGCATCGATACCCGAGCTTGATACAGACATCACAACAGCATCCTCTGATGAGCGGTGCTCGGTACCGTGTCGTCCTGCCCTGTGCTGAAAGTGCACTGCCTGAGCATCAGCGAGGCCTTGTGCCTGGCTAGCTGTTCCTCATCGGCAGCGCTGAAAAAGCTTCACAAATTAGGAGCGGTCGCGCAGCATGCCCTCAGTCCATGTGCCCAGGAATTGGGCCACCTTGCCCGAGATGGCTGACACCTTCTTGTTCTTGACGAAATACTCCTGCTGCAGTTTGTGGACCTCGCCTCAACCTGGCCTGACCACTGCACTCTAGAGCTTAAGCTAGCCGCAGAATCAGGCCAAGATGAGCCAAGCATCGTTGGTGAGGTGGCTCAAACCCAAGCAGATCAGAAGGTAGAACCTTGGCAGCTGCGGTGCGTCTGGCGCTGCAAGCGCATGCGTGCACGAGGGTCTGCGGCTAGATGCCACTAAGATCAGGGCGGGAAGAAGGCCGTCGGCATCGGCGCACCCCAGATCTTCTTAGCCAAGATCTTCTTGTAGAAGATCTGTCCAATTGGGCCGTGCCTGCAACCAAAAAACAGCAGCACGACGAACGTGTGGGACGTGGGATGTCGTAAGATGCACTTGGCCGAGGGGCAGGATGAACATCGGGAATGCGATGGAGCCCAGCGTGGCCATCGGCTTGGAGCCGAAGAAGCGCGTGATAGGGGCCTGAGAGCTGCCGAAGACACGAAGCCACTCAGCGCAGACACATGTTTTGGGAGAAGTTCAGCACAGCGGCGGGGTTTGCGGAGATCGCATCCCTGTGAATCTGCGTCAAGAACTTCGTGAAGATGGGGACGAACAGCACGCTGCGAATGATGGCATCCTCAGGCCCCCCTCTGCCCCAAGATGCCCCACATGCCCCATATCAAGGCCCCCCACCCCCCTGGTCACTTCTCGCAACAGGGGCTAGAGTAAGGGGCCGGCATTGAAGTCGAACTTGGTGAGACGCAGACCCAAGGAGGCGTAGGCCGCCAAGAACATCCAAAGCGGGTTCCTTGGGTGAGACAGAAATACTTTCAAGCGACTCAAGGGCACGGGGTTTAGATGCGTCCAGGTCCAGCATGGAGATGAATCTGAGCTCAAGGAGCGTGGTCGGCTTCTTCTTGTCCTCCTCCGTGTCCAGCATCACGTGACGCACAGCCGCCACGCCCATGGTCATCTCGATCAGCGCCCAGAAGGGGTGGAAGCGGGTCAAGTTCCAGATCCTGAAGCCGTGGGCTGTGGCACGCACGGCATGTGCGTGCCAGCTCTGCCAGCTCTGCACCCCTCTCAACTAGCAACAGAAGCAGCTGTGCCCCGCGCAGAGGGTGCATGACCTGGCCGTTGACCTCAGGTCTACTACGACCAGGAAGCCGACTCTAGGCGACTAGGCGCAGCGTGGCCACACAGCGTGATACACCTTGCAAGCCCAGCGGCCGGGTGCTCCTTGCTGCTGTGGAAGCGCGAGGTCTCCGAATAGGAGACCTGTGTTCGTGCAAGCCCCACGATGATGTTGCAGGCCGGGGCTCGAGCTTTACATGCGCCCTATAATGCTCTACATGCCTTCTGCAGGAGCGAGATGCCCGTCAAGGCGACGAACAGCTTCTGAAGGCCTCCACACAGCTGGCCCCCTGCTCCACTAGCCTAGCCAACGACATCCCACAAAAACAACCGCTAAACACCGTCAAGATCTGTCAAGCCAACAGCAACAGCTTCGGGCAACAGCTTCCTTCTGTCCAAGGGGCCGTTCTTGGACAGCTGCGCCACCTGTGGAAGCACCAGCGTCGGCATGGTGAGGTTCGAGAACGTCAGGGCCGAAAGGAACCTTGCTGCGCGGGTGGAGCATGCACGGGCACGCAAACGGGCATGGGCGGGAAGCGGGAAGTTGCGCCGTGCCGCACGCGCGCAGGTGCGCGCAAGGGTGAGCGGCAGCGCTCAGGCTTCCGGGGCCGGGACCAGGTTGGCTGATTCCAGATCTCTGCCTCCTTGGGGAACCAGGCCTGGCCCCATGCACGTGGGCAAGCTTGGCGCATCCTGTCACGTCCCGGCACATCCCGGCGCATCCTCCGGGCGCCTGCAGCATGCTGAAGTTCAGGAAAGCACGGAATGCGCTGGTGGTCCACGGAGTGTTGTACCACCTTCGAAAAAACACACAAGCTGCTGTCGTATCCTTCCTTCACCTCACCGCACATGCAAGCGCATCGCTGCCGCCACCTCTCAACCTGGATGAACATCGGGGCGAAGATCGCGGAAACCACGAAGTGGAGAGGATAGTAGGCCATCACCTATCTTGCTGAGAACCTCACACCACTCCACACCAAACAACCTTTTTCAGAGGCCGACCCTCTGCCAGAAGAAGAGCTCCGGGTTGGCCAGCTTCTTGTCCTCGGCCTTTCTCTCGCCAAGCTTCGTAGAAGTGTACGCAGACACCTGGGCAAAAAAACCCAACAAAGACTCTCGGCAACCGTCGACACAAGATGGCACAGAAGCGAGTCCTGAGACCGAAACGTATCCTGAGATGACGAAGAAGCCTCCTACGAGCACATTCTCCTGCGTGAGCAGCTTCAGCGCCGTCAGGTTGTTGGTGCCAAACCTGTGGCTGGATCGCTACGGAAGCAGAAATACGTACGTGGAGCACACCTGCTGGTCTCCAATGTCTCTACAGAATCTACAGTGAATCTACAGTGCCCCGAGCGAGAACCGCGACGTACCGTGACAACCCTGTGATGCCCGGCCTCGCAAAATGCGCAATCACGATGGGGAAGACCAGCGCAAAGCGGCAACCGTCGATGCAGTCGATCCGCGGCTTGGAGACCTCAAAACACCGCGAAAACACCCCAAGCCAGGGAGGCCCAACTCTGCAAGCCATGCAATGGCCATTCGGCGATGCCATGGTTTGCACGCATTGCACGCAATGCACGCATTGCACGCCACCTTCACGGGTTTGATTTCCTGCTTGGCGTCCGGAGGCATCGCCATGGCCTTTGCGTCAGCCTGCAGATGCGATGGCTGCATGTGCTTGCAGCACAATCATCACAATGCGGCCGCAATTCTCCTCCCAGTGCCACCAAGGCACGTCGATTTTCTGTGCCACTTGGCTCATGCCGACGACGACCTTTGCCAAGTCACATCTAATCCTGGAGCCTCTGTCCCTACAGTCGCGTACCTCGCTGACATTGTTGCAAGCCAAGACCGCGACTGAGCCAGACAGTCCGCAACTTTGCGGCCAACTGGAACTATGTGCAGCTGCAGCTTTGAATGAGGGCTTTAAGCCGAAACCAAGCCATCCAAGCACCAAGTGAATGATCACGAATGCCCTGCGTCTAGAGTCCATCTATCAACCTCACTTCCCCAAACCATGCGTCATTCTGTTTCCGCACGAACGATCGAAGCTCGCACCGTGGCATTGACACCAAGTGTCCTGCAACAACAGCCATGCTGCGACTGTGCAGTCGGCCTGGGGAACTTTAGTGCTTGGTATGGTGTGGTCGATCATCAAGGCATGTCAATGCCACGGGCTGGCATCGGTTTCCTGTGTGGCGTTGACACACAGAAGCCTGGGGACGGCGGTGCTGCACCTTGTGCAGCACCAACCAGTCTCCACAAACAACTTGAAGTGGGCAGGGCGCATCGATACCCGAGCTTGATACAGACATCACAACAGCATCCTCTGATGAGCGGTGCTCGGTACCGTGTCGTCCTGCCCTGTGCTGAAAGTGCACTGCCTGAGCATCAGCGAGGCCTTGTGCTTGGCTAGCTGTTCCTCATCGGCAGCGCTGAAAAAGCTTCACAAATTAGGAGCGGTCGCGCAGCATGCCCTCAGTCCATGTGCCCAGGAATTGGGCCACCTTGCCCGAGATGGCTGACACCTTCTTGTTCTTGACGAAATACTCCTGCTGCAGTTTGTGGACCTCGCCTCAACCTGGCCTGACCACTGCACTCTAGAGCTTAAGCTAGCCGCAGAATCAGGCCAAGATGAGCCAAGCATCGTTGGTGAGGTGGCTCAAACCCAAGCAGATCAGAAGGTAGAACCTTGGCAGCTGCGGTGCGTCTGGCGCTGCAAGCGCATGCGTGCACGAGGGTCTGCGGCTAGATGCCACTAAGATCAGGGCGGGAAGAAGGCCGTCGGCATCGGCGCACCCCAGATCTTCTTAGCCAAGATCTTCTTGTAGAAGATCTGTCCAATTGGGCCGTGCCTGCAACCAAAAAACAGCAGCACGACGAACGTGTGGGACGTGGGATGTCGTAAGATGCACTTGGCCGAGGGGCAGGATGAACATCGGGAATGCGATGGAGCCCAGCGTGGCCATCGGCTTGGAGCCGAAGAAGCGCGTGATAGGGGCCTGAGAGCTGCCGAAGACACGAAGCCACTCAGCGCAGACACATGTTTTGGGAGAAGTTCAGCACAGCGGCGGGGTTTGCGGAGATCGCATCCCTGTGAATCTGCGTCAAGAACTTCGTGAAGATGGGGACGAACAGCACGCTGCGAATGATGGCATCCTCAGGCCCCCCTCTGCCCCAAGATGCCCCACATGCCCCATATCAAGGCCCCCCACCCCCCTGGTCACTTCTCGCAACAGGGGCTAGAGTAAGGGGCCGGCATTGAAGTCGAACTTGGTGAGACGCAGACCCAAGGAGGCGTAGGCCGCCAAGAACATCCAAAGCGGGTTCCTTGGGTGAGACAGAAATACTTTCAAGCGACTCAAGGGCACGGGGTTTAGATGCGTCCAGGTCCAGCATGGAGATGAATCTGAGCTCAAGGAGCGTGGTCGGCTTCTTCTTGTCCTCCTCCGTGTCCAGCATCACGTGACGCACAGCCGCCACGCCCATGGTCATCTCGATCAGCGCCCAGAAGGGGTGGAAGCGGGTCAAGTTCCAGATCCTGAAGCCGTGGGCTGTGGCACGCACGGCATGTGCATGCCAGCTATGCCAGCTCTGCACCCCTCTCAACTAGCAACAGAAGCAGCTGTGCCCCAAGCAGAGGGTGCATGACCTGGCCGTTGACCTCAGGTCTACTACGACCAGGAAGCCGACTCTAAGCGACTAGGCGCAGCGTGGCCACACAGTGTGATACACCTTGCAAAGCCCAGCGGCCGGGTGCTCCTTGCTGCTGTGGAAGCGCGAGGTCTCCGAATAGGAGACCTGTGTTCGTGCAAGCCCCACGATGTTGCAGGCCGGGGCTCGAGCTCTACATGCGCCCTATACTGCTCGACATGCCTTCTGCAGGAGCGAGATGCCCGTCAAGGCGACGAACAGCTTCTGAAGGCCTCCACACAGCTGGCCCCCTGCTCCACTAGCCTAGCCAACGACATCCCACAAAAACAACCGCTAAACACCGTCAAGATCTGTCAAGCCAACAGCAACAGCTTCGGGCAACAGCTTCCTTCTGTCCAAGGGGCCGTTCTTGGACAGCTGCGCCACCTGTGGAAGCACCAGCGTCGGCATGGTGAGGTTCGAGAACGTCAGGGCCGAAAGGAACCTTGCTGCGCGGGTGGAGCATGCACGGGCACGCAAACGGGCATGGGCGGGAAGCGGGAAGTTGCGCCGTGCCGCACGCGCGCAGGTGCGCGCAAGGGTGAGCGGCAGCGCTCAGGCTTCCGGGGCCGGGACCAGGTTGGCTGATTCCAGATCTCTGCCTCCTTGGGGAACCAGGCCTGGCCCCATGCACGTGGGCAAGCTTGGCGCATCCTGTCACGTCCCGGCACATCCCGGCGCATCCTCCGGGCGCCTGCAGCATGCTGAAGTTCAGGAAAGCACGGAATGCGCTGGTGGTCCACGGAGTGTTGTACCACCTTCGAAAAAACACACAAGCTGCTGTCGTATCCTTCCTTCACCTCACCGCACATGCAAGCGCATCGCTGCCGCCACCTCTCAACCTGGATGAACATCGGGGCGAAGATCGCGGAAACCACGAAGTGGAGAGGATAGTAGGCCATCACCTATCTTGCTGAGAACCTCACACCACTCCACACCAAACAACCTTTTTCAGAGGCCGACCCTCTGCCAGAAGAAGAGCTCCGGGTTGGCCAGCTTCTTGTCCTCGGCCTTTCTCTCGCCAAGCTTCGTAGAAGTGTACGCAGACACCTGGGCAAAAAAACCCAACAAAGACTCTCGGCAACCGTCGACACAAGATGGCACAGAAGCGAGTCCTGAGACCGAAACGTATCCTGAGATGACGAAGAAGCCTCCTACGAGCACATTCTCCTGCGTGAGCAGCTTCAGCGCCGTCAGGTTGTTGGTGCCAAACCTGTGGCTGGATCGCTACGGAAGCAGAAATACGTACGTGGAGCACACCTGCTGGTCTCCAATGTCTCTACAGAATCTACAGTGAATCTACAGTGCCCCGAGCGAGAACCGCGACGTACCGTGACAACCCTGTGATGCCCGGCCTCGCAAAATGCGCAATCACGATGGGGAAGACCAGCGCAAAGCGGCAACCGTCGATGCAGTCGATCCGCGGCTTGGAGACCTCAAAACACCACGAAAACACCCCAAGCCACGGAGGCCCAACTCTGCAAGCCATGCAATGGCCATTCGGCGATGCCATGGTTTGCACGCATTGCACGCAATGCACGCATTGCACGCCACCTTCACGGGTTTGACTTCCTGCTTGGCGTCCGGAGGCATCGCCATGGCCTTTGCGTCAGCCTGCAGATGCGATGGCTGCATCGCCATCTGTCGATGCAGCTACCCCGCGCTTTCATCACACATTTTTCAGTTCGTAGGGCTTCAAAATAGCTGCGGGCCCTCTGACTCCTGTGCTGATATTCGAAATATCTTTCAACAAGGTTCCCTGCTCTCCATGATGCCAAGGCACGTCGATTTTCTGCACCACTTGGCTCATGTCGATGGCCTGTGCTTAATCTGCATTGGCAACCACCCTCTACCATCTTGCAACCATTTGACCAAAATGCAAAACCTCAAGCCAAGCCACAGGCGGCTCGTGGCAGGCGGAAGATTCAGATGAGGGCTTGTAGCAAAAAATGTCCAGCAACGGAAATGTGGCTTGGGCTGCGAGTGCTGGTGCCCACTTGGTGAAACAATTGCAAACGGTTGCCGGACCGAGCTGTGCATCCATGCCCACGCATGGGCACCCTGCAGTAAACTCACTGAAGTGGCACCTTGCCGCCCCTTTGATTTTTCCTAGTCTTGGTGACCCGTGCTTGGCTGCAAATGCTGTACTGTACAACGATCGACATGCTGCAAATTGCAGCGGTGTTGGCTGTTCGCCTGTTCCTCATGACGTGCATTCAAACCGGATATCTTCATGATAAAACGCAGCAAATGTCATGAAACAAGCCACATGGGAATTCATGCAGCAAGAACTGTTTGCTAAGGTTGGGAAGCCACCTTCCACACCGAAAGAACTTCTTATGCGTTCACTGTTCAAAGAAATCTTGGCCTCCAAGAATGCGACTCTTTCAGGTCTGGATTTGAGTCCAGAAATCTGAAGAGTGTCTGGATGGCGGCTGCATGAGATCCAAGGAAAGTATTCGGAAATACCTATAGGGGAGGAGTGGCCAGAGAAGACGGGGCGAAGACATGAAAAGAAGGCGACTGGAGGTTGCGGCTACATCTAGAGATGGCACTACTTGAAGCTGCAGGAGTTCCTGATCTTAGCTAAAGCCGCCCTGCATGAACTGGGTCCAAAACTACCACTCCTTGAAGAACCAGAAGGTTAAACTTTCAGAAGTTCGAGGAGGACGTTGAAGAGGGTTAATGAAAAAGATATTTTTGGGATACTTTAGGAGATTCTCCGCGGCGCAGACGAAACCATGCGCTAGTCACGGGGTCCGGCTCAACGCCGGATCAAATGTCGTGACATGATCCGGGCCCCGGAGGCCTTCGCGGCGGTGGGTGACATATATTGAAAGGCGTACTGGCGTTACAAACACCAAGTTAAGTGGGAGATGAAAAGAGTCCGAAATCTCGGCGACCAACTGGAGAAAGGACTGAAGAGCAAGGGACAGAACCCAACTAGAGTACGGTATATTGCAGGAAACACTTGAGTACCCTGTATAAGGAGAGCAACCAGGATCGTGGATAGCAAAGTACTTTTCGTCGGGGTTGCTCCATTCTGCCAGGGGGTCGTGGGTATCCAAGGAGCGGATCACTGGCGGCCGAAGGGGTAAGGATGTTGCGCATCCAAACCTTGAAGGAATTTTTGGGGAAGCTACCGTGGGCATCTACCTGTTGGATCACATCATAAAGGCCTTCATGAAAACAGCGGCTTCATCTCTCACAACGTCGACTGGAGTGCGCTAATATCCCAAAACACTTAAAGGTGGATAGGACTGGGAACGTGTCTACTTCCGCAGTAGTACTCCCTAGCCCAATCTCGCCAAGCCTTGCACAAATGCAATCCGAGCCAAAACCGTAATTGCCAGGGCAACACAGGCACCATCGGACTGGAACAAGAAACAAGGAAAGGTGGCAACAAGCCGGTATATGATGTAGAATTGGGGAATCTGTGGAATCTGTGCAAGGGCGTGCAGTTATCGTAGCCCGTTTGGGAAGCACACTTCTGACAATCAAAGGAATCGTATTGCCGGGAGTCGTAACCTCGATGCTGATACGCTGATAGGAGCGGAGTGCTAATTGTCGTAAGTGTGCGGCGATTGCCCCAAGTTTTGACCCTGCCTATCATCACGATACTCCGGTCCCCGACCTTTACCCTTGTTGGAGGAACTACGACCACCGAACTGGCAGAAGGCCGCTGCAACAGTGGTGTGGAGCTCACTGTGGCCCAGCAGGAGACAACCCGAATTCTCGGATAGGGTTCGAACCAACTCATCATCAAGTCCTTCGGGGTAAATGTCATAGAAACAACTTCATGACCTCCACACCAGAGACACCACTAAGGTCGGTAGTTTGGCGAACCTTGACACTTGTAGAGCTTTGAGGAAGGACGCAACAACGTACGACTTATTGGGCGGGAGGACAAACAAAGAACTTGCAGATTCGAGAAGACAAGAACAAGGCAAGAGAAAAAAAGGCAAGTCCAACATGACAGCTTCAAGCCATCTCCTACAAGCTGTCAAAGAAGCAACTGAAACGAATGCACACACACCTACTGCTGAGAGCAGCGCGAAAACCCAGGAGCCCTGGAAAACTGCTGTCCAAGTAAGCAGAACGGCAGTCTCAGAGCCAGAAGCACGCAGCCTGCCACTCCTACATCTGAAGGTGAGCTCAAAAGTACCAACCTGGAAGTAAGCAACCTGGGCAGGCAAACCACCCGGTACGTCATTGAGTTCCAATCCGGCCAAATATACCCTTGGAACCATTAAGCAGTGCGATCGTCCGGAGAAACTTCAGTGAAGGAAGAGATCAAAGCATACAGGGCGACGTTCGAAGCGTTCGGGAAAGGAGAGATCTCGCTCTATCTTGATGTGGGCATCATGACCGTAGGTGCATTCTTCAGAGCGAAAAAAGCGCTTACCAGCGCCGAATGACTGAAAGGTGTTGGCTTTCGTTTAGCATTAACGGCGCAGAAAGCATCAGGGATCTCCTTGCATGCTCTCCTCATCCTCTTGCTTCGAGGCGGTTGTCGGTTCCGATCAAGCTGGAGGCCTGTCATAGAAAACATGCCAGGGGGCACTGATTCTAGGAGCTTCTGAAAGTGGGTCTGGTGTATTGGAGTCTCCGTGCCGGAAGTGATCACACCGTGGGTACCATGCGATTTCTCTACAATGTTACTGTCTGGGCCAACTCCTCTGGGAGAACTGCAGCCAAGGCTTGGCTGGCAGCATCTCCGGCGGGGAGTGTCAGCAACTAGCTGGGTCTTCCATGGCTAATGCAAGTGCTGGCGTAACAAAAACGGCACACACCAACAACAAGAGAAGGCGCAACAGTGAAGGTACGTGCGAAACATGCATAGTCCCTGAAAAGACAGCAATAGACCACACTGGGATCACATGCTCCTCCTCCTCCACCTGCTCCTCCTACTACGACTACTACTACCACTACCACTACTACCACTACTGCCACTACTAGCACTACTACCACTACTACCACTACTACCACTACTACCACTACTACCACTACTACCACTACTACCACTACTACCACTACTACCACTACTACCACTACTACCACTACTACCACTACTACTACTACTACCACTACTACCACTACTACCACTACTACCACTACTACCACTACTACCACTACTACCACTACTACCACTACTACCACTGCTACCACTACTACCACTACTACCACTACTACTACCACTACTACCACTGCTACCACTACTAACCGTAGTAAAGTAGTAGAAGTAGTAGAAGTAGTAGAAGTAGTAAAGTAGTAGAAGTAGTAGAAGTAGTAGAAGTAGTAGAAGTAGTAGAAGTAGTAGAAGAGTAGAAGTAGTAGAAGTAGTAGAAGTAGTAGAAGTAGTAGAAGTAGTAGAAGTAGTAGAAGTAGTCGAAGTAGTAGAAGTAGAAGAGAAGTTAGAAGTAGTAGAAGTAGAAGAAGTAGTAGAAGTAGTAGAAGTAGTAGAAGTAGTAGAAGTAGTAGAAAGTAGTAGAAGTATAGAGTAATAAAGTAGTAGTAGTAGTAGCAGTAGCAGTAGCAGTACACTAGTAGTGGTAGTAGTAGTAATAGTAGTAGTAGTCGTCGTAGTCGTAGTCGTAGTAGTTGTAGTCGTAGTCGTAGTCGAGTATTAGTAGTAGTAGTAGTTTGTATTAGTAAGTAGTAGTAGTAGTAGTAGTCGTAGTCGTAGTCGTAGTCGTAGTAGTAGTCGTAGTCGTAGTAGTAGTCGTAGTCGTAGTCGTGGTCGTAGTCGTAGTCGTAGTCGTAGTCGTAGTCGTAGTCGTAGTAGTCGTCGTAGTAGTAGTAGTAGTAGTAGTAGTAGTAGTAGTAGTAGTGGTAGTAGTAGTAGTAATAGTAGTAGTAGTAGTAATAATAATAGAAATAATAGTAGCAGTAGTAGTAATAGTAGTAGTAGTAATAGTAGTAGAAATAATAGTAGTAGTAGTAGTAGTAGTAGTAGTAGCAGTAGAAATAGTAGTAGTAGTTGTTGTTGTTGCTGTTGTCGTAATAGTAGTAGTAGTAGTAGTAGTAGTAGTAGTAGTAGTAGTAGTAGTAGTAGTAGTAGTAGTAGCAGTAGCAGTAGCAGTAGCAGGAGTAGTAATAATAGTAGTAGTAGTAGCAGTAGTAATAGAAGCAGTAGTAGTACTAGTAGTAGTAATAATAATAGTATTAATAATAATAATAATAGTAGTAATAGTAGTAGTAGTAGTAGTAGTAGTAGTAGTAGTAGTAATAGTAGTAGTAATAATAGTGATAGTAGTAATCGTCATAGTAGCAGTAGTAGTCGTAGCAGTAGCAGTAGTAATAATAGTAGTAGTAGTAGTAGTAGTAGTAGTAGTAGTAGTAGTAGCAGTAGTGGCAGTTGTTGTTGTTGTTGTGTTGTATTTGTGGCAGTTGTAGTTGTAGTTTGTAGCTGCTGTAAGTGCAAGTGCAGGTGTAATTGCAATTGTGCAAGGTTTGGGCACTGTTTTCACCTTTTTTTCTCTCAGGCGACAGACATAGCTGGAAAGTGCTTCGCACCCCCATTGAAATCCAAAAAAACAAAAGGGGTGGAATTTAGGAATTGTAGGCCTTCGAAGGACAAGAAATTGAGAGGCTGGAATTTAGAACAACTCTCAGGCTTCGAAGAGCAACAAAAAACTGAGGAGAGTGGAATATTAGAATAATTCTCCTCTTCTCACTCTTCTCCACACAGGACAACAACAAAAAACTGAGAGCGTGGAATTTGAATCTCTTCTATTCCTTTTGTTTCTTCTGGAGCACACCGAAGTCAGCATCAACGCTCTTAGAAAACTTCAATTCTAATTCTTTCCGGAAGTTTAACAAAAAAGCAACAGCTTCAAAAGGTGCCCAGGTAAGTGGTAAAAGGTCAAACGGACTGGTAACTTGATATGACTGCCGAGAAGGGCAGTTGCTCAAAGAAAACGCGCGCAAGCTCCACCTCGAAGCACTCAACAGCAAACTTGTGGTTGGAGCTTGTGGCGCCCTGGACGAAGTGGCTTTTTGCTCTTTCGGAAGACAGATGAGGCGCACCTCTTTGGCAGTTTG